AAAATTTACATACTTAAGTACTAATAGTTCACGAAAATAATAATTTTCGTGAACTATTATTAGTTAAGTATGTAAAAATTTATTACATTTCCTGTTGTACGAGGGTTTTACCCAATTCTCGAACCGTGTCAAAGTGAATCCATGCTATAAAAGTACTGTGTTATACGGGGGATGATACCAATTCTCGAACCGTGTTAGAGTGAATCCATGCTATAGAAGTGCCACGTTATACAGGGGTTACCTTTATATTAAATTGTATTATTTTAATTTATAATTTCATAATATTAGAAATATTAATTTATTTAGTTATTTGCTTAAAGAAATTTGATTAATTTAGATATGATTGATGTGAAATTTTTACAATTATGAATGTTTTCAGAAAATATGTTTGAATAAACAGACTTTTAAATTATAAAATCTAATGGTGATTATAACATGCAACCAATTATGTTGTTTCTTTGTAGAAGTTTGACAAAAATTAATAATAGATAAACCAAATGCCTGTTATAAATAACAAATTTAAAACATAAACAGGAGTATTAATTAATTCATAAAACACTGCTAAGTTTGGGTAACCAAAAGTATTTAATATGAAATGTTTTCAGTTTTTAATTTAGGCTATTCTCAGCATCAAACACATCAACAGAATAGAATACTTTTACAAAAATATTCCATTTGTGTATTCCATTTTATTTATTCTTTATATTAGAATATATTTAATACTTGTTAAAGTAGTAAAAAAATTTTAACTTCATACAAAAATTTAAAAATTGAAAATAATTACTATTGTTAAACAATATCTAGTAAAATCTATTCATTTTGAAATATTATACTTAAAAAAAATGCTGAAACTGTTGTAATTTATAGTGTTTCAGTAGTAAAATAAATAAATTTCAGTAGATAATATTTAATTTAAATACGTTAAGAAAGTTTTTGGCAGAATTCTGAGTTATAAATTTTACAAACCGGAAATAAATAATTAGTTCTAACCTAAAAATGTCATCCTGTGTTTACAACAGTCATTGATTCAAATTTCATTTAAAAAAAAAAAGATAAATTTTGAGATATTTCTACATCTCTTTATTACATTAAAATTAAATCAAGTTACAATAAAAGAATCAATGTAGACCTATAGATAAATAAAAACTATAATTATTTTTATAATCAATCAAATCTGAAAAATGTGAAACTAGAATATAAATGCTTTTATATATTTTTAAATATTAATTATAAAACAAAATTTAATCTCTTAATCTCAATATATACAATCATTTTAATAAATTATTTTTATATTTTTAATAATAAGCATTTTGTATTTCTTCCAAAATGATTATGTAAAATGATTATAAAAGGTTTCATTTAACATGTGAATAAGCATTATTAATGTTATTTTAAGTAGTTTTAGCTTGAAAGTAATTTAAATGATAAAAAAGAATGTATTAAAACTTTTTAAATGTTTTAAAATTACTTTTATTTATCCAGACATGAATTATTTAACATACTTTGCATGTAAATCAAACAGATTTTATTCCATAATTTTGTAACAACTTGTTTTGAAATTTTGTCATAGTATTAAATTATCACTATCAGTTGACAAATAAGTGGATTATTAAAAAAGTCTGAGGACAGATTTATAATTTTGAATTTATTAGGGTTATATAAATCAAGTCATTAAAAATGTAGAAGGCCGAAAAATTACATTAAAATTTCACTACAGAAGTACCAGAAATGGTAAAAAGAAAATATTCTGTAATTGATTTAAACTGCCAGTTTATTGGGTGAAAATGCCAGAGTAATTCCATAAAAATTGATGATTTTAATCTGTCATCGTCATTTATCATATTTAGTAACATTCCAATTATTTAAGAGATAAATTATAAAGTAAATTAATATTTAAAAAGTATATTTTAGTATAGCTTTTATATAAATAAATTTGTATGAAAATTCAGTATTATAGCAATTATTTAGTAAATTTATTCACAATTATATTATGTTCTAATAAATATAAATAATTATAGTTAGCTTAAATGCAAGTTTTGGAAATATCCAGTTATACAACGAGGCTTTATTTTTATTTCTNGAATAGAACCCAATAAACCTCAGTGTCCAGTTAATTATTTTTGTGAAGTTTTACCAAAGAACGACTATGGAGTATGTTGTCCTCTTCTTGGTATGAATGTTTAAAAATTTTCAATATTTTTCTATTAAATTCCAATTATTTAAAAATTAAAAATTTTCAGAACATTAATTAATTACAAATTTCAATAAATGTATATTTCAATATGTATATTTAAGTAATTTCAACAGTTTATAAAAATTATTGATTTTAAAAAATATTTTTCTTTATTACTCACCACTAAGTCAGACAATAATACAGTTTAATAAATAAAGCATTATAAGATGTATTTATTATCTGTTGTTATATTTGAAAGAAATAAGATATTGAGAAGCATTAGAAGATTAAGAGATTCTAAAAGATTTACATTTGTAGCAAGCTATCACAAAAAGAAAGACAAGTGAAAGTACTGGTAATGCAAAAATAAACTTTAAAACTTTAAAAATATGAATTGTAAACAAACTAAACTAAGAAAGATTGCCAGATTCTTTAAAGACTGTTAATTTTTTAGTTTTAAAATCATATTTACATTGTTAAAAAAATTCAATTTTTAAACATTTTTCACTAAAGTAAACACACTATCTATTAATAACTTTAATCATTAAATAAGTTGAATTAAATAATTTGCATCTTGTGAAAGGTCATTAAGTGTATTACCTATTATACACATATAAATATTCAAAGTCAAACTCCCAGATTTAAGAATTAATAATTATCTTGTACATTACATTAGATTTAACTGTGCAAGTAGAAGTATGATATTTAGAGTCCTTTATTTTTCTTCAACTTTTTCTAAGTTTTTGTTGAAAACAGTAAGTAAACTATATACATCTACCAAAAGGAAAAGTAAAAGTAGAAATGTCGTATTGTATCAATGGAAAATATTGATTAGTAAGTTAATTTATTGAACATTATTAACAGTTTTTCTACTTTGAAAAATGTGAAATATTTTAAAAATGCTTTTGAATGCTTTAAGCGATTTGAAATATTGATTTGTTTATTAAAAAAAAAAAAACATAAAATGAGTTTAAACAGTGATTAAAAAGCTTTTTAAAGATTAATAGAAAATTTTTAAATCACTTCTTAATCACATGAAGAAAGACCTTCGTTGAATTACATTTAGTTAAATTTGTTTTATATTCTATTAATGTTTAAATCATTTTAACAAAATGTTAAAATGATTAAATATATTGAAACCTATAAATAAAATTCAGAATGTGTGATAAAAAAATTTTTTAAATACAAATCAAAATTTATGAATAAATAATCAGTTTAAAATGTATGATTTTATAACACAAATATTATTTTAAGGTTATCAATGATTCAAATCCTTCGATTAAAGGATATGATAAGATTAAAATAATCTCTCCTACAAAAATAATTTCTTAATACATTAGAATAATTAATTATTACGAGAATATGATTATATAATAAATTATAATCAGTATAAAAAGTTTTTAAAATTCAAATTTGTTTCAGATTTAATAAACTTGAAAATTTCTGTGTGAGACAGTTTATATCATTAAATTTATATATACTATAATATTTAATGTAATAATCAATCATTGAAAATATTTTTAAATCTATCAAATTCATTTAAAAGTTTGTTTACAGCAGGGGTGGGCAACCCTTGTCACATGTGCCAAATGTGGCATGTCAATGCTTTTCTTCTGGCATTCAACCCAGGACTTCTCTTAAAAAATAAATATCCAATATCTTTCCTGAATTGTATATTTCAACCTAATAGAATACATTTTTATTGAGTAGAGTGATACTAAATAAAAATACAATAAAGAAGTAAACATTATTAACTGTTTTAGTAATAATAAGTAATAAGAAAATGAAAGAAACATCCTATTTCCAAGACATCTATCTCTGTAATGCACTGACTTACAAGTATGGATGCCAATTTAGCAGAAAATCCACTAAATCTGGCTTTCCTGTAGCATCATCTATTGATAAATGCTAGACCAAATAATATGCTCCTAAAAATTTTGGTTGGCATGTGAAAAAAGTTTGTATCACAGATTTGGCAATTTTGGTATGTGTAATTAAAATGAACATATCTGTGGCCCAAAAGTACACATTATGATTGCCTATCTCTGGTTTAAAATATTAAAAATAAAGGAAAGTTAATTTTTAGCAAATTATTGTATTTTCAAATTCTCTGTTTTATTTTATATAAATATTCTTTCTTATCATTTTTAAATGTTTAAAGATTTCAATCATATATTTTCTTATTTTCTTATCTTCATCATCATATTATTTTTTATATCTTGTATATATTAAAATTTAAAGTTATCTTCTGTATAAATATTTAATATTTTAAACCAGACTTTTATTAGAAAATATGCAAATTAAAATTGAAATTATAATAATAGCTTTTATAGGTTTAAAAGTTAAGGTAAACATAAAAGTTTAATCTTGAGTTAAAATTTATAATGCATTTTAAAAATTAAAATAATTTAAACAAGATAAAACTTAATGTTTCATATTTACAATCTTTATTATATTAAAACATATACTAAAAAATTATTCGAAAACATAAAAATTTAATTTAGTTTTTAATTATATATTTTAAATATAGAGAAACCAGGAACTTGTCCTGCAATTTCCTTGCTTGATGATGAATGTACTTCAACTTGTAATTTAGACATGGAATGCAGTGGAGTTCAAAAATGCTGTTTTACTGAAAATTGTGGAAAAATATGTTTGGAACCAGCAAATATAACATGTAAGTTAAAGAAATGTTAAAAAATAAGTGCCATTTTTTAAAAATATTCTTGACTTTGTGTACAGTAAATTTTAAAATATCTTTGAAAAAGTATAAGTTAGACACACTCTTAAAGTCAATAATTATGATACAATTATCTCTCTCATATAACATGGTAGTTAGATTCAGAGAAAATGATGTGTTATGCAAATCCATGCTATATGGAACAAAATATTAATACAAAATATAGGGTTAGGTTCCAAAAGTTAGCAAAAGTTTACTATAATTTTTTGTAATTAAAAGAAATATGTTTATTAAAGCAATCATTATCATCGTCATCATCATCATAAATAAACTTTATGTATAATAGGCTCATGCCTGTAACAAAAGGGTGGTATTATCAATATTATAACAAATTATAGAAAAAGAGTAACATAGAACAATTTGAGACAAATAGTCCAAAAGGACAATCTCTTATAATTTTTAATAAGTAAACTATTAATATAAACATAATCTTATTTTTGTTTGTATTTAACAAAGGAGTGATTACAAAGATAATATGTTTGGTTGGTTAATAACAAAATCTTTTTGTGCGTAGTTATATAGATTATATATTGTATTACTTTTAGCTCAGTGAAAGAAAAGATACATAGAACTTTCATTATTCTTGGAATTCAGAGCTTCGAGATTATATTGTTTACAATATAATCTCGAAGCTCTTGTGCCTTATTACAAGTACAAAATAAGTGAAATTTAGACATGGGAACGTCACAACTTATACAAAATAATTTAGAAAATTGATAAATATTATTATTAATAAATATAATTTCTCTATTTAGTCTCAGTTGGATAAAGAATTTTTTTACATTGAAGGATAAATCAGTATCTATATAGTCGTTAATGTTTGGATAATCTAAAATTATATTATAGCAAGCAGAGTTGATACAATTCCTTATATCATAAATGTCTTAAGTTAAAGTTATTTCAAAAGAGTTCTTAATTAATTGAGTATTATATATTTTGCATAAATCAGATTTATATATGAACGAATCTATTGAAAAACCGAACATATTAAACAAATTTGATAATTGACAAATCCAATTTTTTATTGACTTATTGATGGAAGATTTTTGATGTAGTATTCTCACCATTAAGGCTGGAAGCACCTCACTATCTCTCAGTCGACTAAGGAATTTAATATACCCTTTAATAAAAATCGGTTCCAATCTAAATCTGTTCAATTCAAGATGAAGCACTGCACCAGGAACATTATAATCTAGAGAAAAAAACTTTGTGTACAAATTTGTTTTGAATTATTTCTAGGTTTTTAAAATAGGGTAGGCTCCAAATAGGAGCAGTGTATCCAAAAGCATTTAGAATAATGGAAGAAAATAGTCTAAATTGGACTCTGATATTACGAATTTTTAATTTAGCAAATAAATTGACTAAATTGTTAATCAAGTAGTAGATTTTGTTTTGACTTTCTTGTAATGTTTCTCAAAAAACAAAGTTGGAGTAAGCACTATATCCAAGAATTTTATCTCTGGGACTATTAAAAGCTTTTCTTGGTTGAGATAGAATGGCATGTATTTTTTTGGCAATCTAGAACCATTTTGGAAAATTATAATGAAGGATTTTTTTGGATTAATTTTCAATTTTAATTCTTCACAGAATTTTTCTAAATCATATATTTTTCGTCGAAGTGCAGTTGCAGTTGGAGCTAAAACTACTATAAGATCAGCATATGAAATGGAATGAATTATTTGATCTCCAAAAGAAAAACCATCATTTTCATTTGTAAAGCAGTTATTCAAGTCATATGAGTAAAAGTTAAATAAACAGGGGACCACGGGTCATCCTGTAACAAACCCCAATTTATTTTAAAAGCTGGCCATACATTATTATTCTGTTTTATGATGATATTGTACTGATCAAAAAGCAAATCTACAGCTTTGATCAATTTAGCTTCCGCTCGGCATTTAGACATTTCATTTTGTAGATTAGATATCAGAACAGAGTCATAGGCCTTCTCTAAGTCCAAAAAAGTGTGAATACTTTGTCTTTTTCTTTGTAATTGAAGTTGTATTAATGCCAGAAGCACAAATAGTGCTATCAGAGTGCCACCATCTTTATTGAAAGCATATTGGATATTATTTCTATAGTTGTTTGTTGTAGTCCATTCATTAAATTTTGTCACTAGTATAGACAGTGGTGTAGCGTGGATATCAGCAGTCAGGGGCGGATGAAAATTTCACAGCCCCCTTATTTAGGTATCTCAATTTAAAAGACTAAAATTCAGTTGCGTCACAGAATAAGTAATGAAAAATTCCGTGCTCATTTCAATCGGTCCAAATCGTAGGTGCAACAAAAATATGAAATGAAATGTTTCAAATTTTTACAAGATATTATTATTATTTATTGTGAAATTTTGCCACCCCCTAAAAGTGCCACCCAGGGCGGACCGTCTCTTACGCCCCCACTACGCTACACCACTGAGTATAGATGTGTATAACTTTTGAAATCCAGATAATAGAGTAATCGGTCTATAGTTGGCTGGTTGTGTTCTATCACCTTTTTTGAAAATCATATATAAAATAATTTTGTTCCATTTGTTAGGCACTATAGCTAAATTATATAAGTCATTAAATATTCTGACTAAGTACTCAACCATTGGCCTCAGAAATTTCTTTATTGCCAAATTTGGTATTGTATCATATTCCGGGGCAGTTTTTTTATTTTAATTGATTAATATGGGAATATAAGATTTCTGAATTAAATAGTTCTTCATATGGCTAAATATTTTGTTGATCTTGATCAGTTATAATCATCCTGTTATAAGTTGAATAATATATTGAAAAATTCCTAAAATAATTGTACCAAACAATATGAGGAATTGTTAGATTATTAGCTGATTTTGAATATTTACAAAAACTGTTTATAACTTTTCAAAAGAATTTGTTGTCTTTCTGACCAATTAAGGTGTCACTCATTGAAGAAAAATATTTTTTTCTTTTTGGCTTTAATTATATTACTATATATTTTTTTGTTTAACAGATATTGCATTAAATAGTAGGTCAAATTAGTCTTCTGAAATATCTGTAGACTTTGTTGTTTTTTAATTTTGTAATAATAACATTTTTTATCAAACCAATTCTGTTTAAATTTGTTAGTCGTTTCATTCTTACTATTTTTAAAAAGAATGACTGTAATAATTTCATTAAAAATTCATAGTTCTTATATAGATTATTATTCTTTTCTTGTGATAACAGTTCTTTGGATTTGAAAGTCAGTTCTCTCAGATATCTTTGAATATTAAACTTTACTCTCGGTCTATTCAAAAGTTTTGAGAGTACTGTACATCAGACTGTTTCGTTAGTTTGATTGTATCCTTATCCCCTTTTAATACTAGATTTATAGGAAAGTGATCAGACATATCTATATTTAGAATTTCCATGGACAAGCACTGATCTGTCATAGATTGAGAACATATAATAAAATCTATAATAGATTTTCCCATGTGAGATATGAAGATAAATTTAGCCAGATAATCACCTTTGATTCTACCATTCAGTAGAATCAAATCATTTTCTTATATAAAATTTAATAACGTATAAGCATCTGTAGATACAGATTTATCTTTCGATAGGCTTATATTTTTAATTGTGTCGCACTATTGCCTTTATATTTTAGATTCATAGTTTCTCCAATACGAATGTTAAAATCCCCACCGAATATCCAATAGTTTATAATATTGGTCCATGGATTGATAACTTTTTGCAATTCTTGAAAGTTTGTCTTTTTATCTGCTGAAAGAGAAAAATATGCAAGTATTAGGCCAATTCATGATTCTCTCCATAATAACTGGGGATTCTGATTAATATCTATTATTAGAAATATAAAAGCGTTAGTTATATGGCATGAGTATATCTTACCAAATATTTTCTTCACTAATAATATGAGACCGCAAGAAGGACGTCCAAATTTGCTGTATTGAACTAATATTGAATGATTTGTTCAAGATATTTCTTATCTTCCTCACACCGATCAATAATCCAGGTTTCTGTAAAATCAACAACAGAATGTTGATTTATATATTCTCTTATATCAGCATTTTGGAGTTTTCCCTGTAGTCCCTGTATATTCCAGAACCAAATAATAAATTAAAGTTATCATTAGTGTAGGGACAACAATTAATAGATCTATCAGACTCGACCTGAATATCTGTATTAATATTATCCTCATTATTAAATACCATTTTGATAGTATTGGAATTAAATAAATCTTTTTCTGTATTTATTTTATCCAAATCCAAGAATTTATTCAAGTTTATTCTAAAAAATTATCCAATTGAATAACTGAATCTAAGTTGATATCATAGGTAAATACTTTCTTATCATAAATGTAATAATTATCTCTGATAATTATTTTGTTCCCTTTTATTTTCTCCTGTTTAATTATAGGCAATAATTTTTTTCGACTGAATCTTACATATATCAGTGGTAAAAATCACTTTCCTATATCACTCATTGTTAAAATTAGCTCTTGATTTTCAAAATATTTTTAGAATAAGATTTCTACTGTATTTGGAATCTACTGTTATTTTGACCATTGGATTAGTACTTTTGTCATTTAATCTAATTAAACTTTCTAAGAAGCAGTCTTCTATTTATAATATCGCTTTAACAAATTGATTAATTTCATTTATATAATCCGTATTAGAAAAAGGGTAATTTATAACAATAATATTGTTTTTTGTTTTTTCATTAATTAATTAATCTAATTCAAATTCTAACATATCTTTTAGATGACTATTGTGCTTAACTAGTGCATCTAGGTTTTTCATTTTGAGTTAAATTCTGTATTTCTTCCTGATATCTTTTATTCTCTTCTTTCATATGTTGTAGTTTATTTTTAATGCCTTGAATATCATGACTTAACTGAGAGAAATTGTTTTGTATCAATTCATAAATGGATTTTAAGGAATATTGTGAGTCTGATTGTACCTGAGGTTCCTTAGCAGATGAAGATTCAAAATATTCTGAGATTTTCGAAGGTTTGAAAGCTCCTAAGTTATATCCAGTAGAATCCTCCTCCAGCTGTAAAAATTCCTCACACAATATTTCTTCCTCTGGGTATTCTGCATTTAATTCTTTAGTACTTTCTTTACAAGGCTGACCTCACCCCCTCTTTTGCATATTGAAATGGCCTACTTCTTGAAGAGAATGGGGAAAGGACCTGGATTGGGTTCTATTCCAGCCATTATTAGAAGGCAAATGTGAGGTTTCTAGGGATTTTTAGATTCAAACCCCACTCCCATGACACCAATTTGTGAGCCGCTGGGGAGGTCGGGAAGTCCTCTCCTTCTGGCCACAGGTCGGTGACCTACTTTTCTTGTCAGGGATGGTAGTAATGTTCGGTTATTCGTTATGCAAGTGGAGGAGAGTCGGAGGGGTCGACAATAAGACGTTGGCAAAGTCGAGTAACGACACCATTTAAAAAACAAACAAGAGTTTATTAACCTAACTAACTAAATAAAATTTATACAAAACTTCTTAGACTTTGCAGATGAGAGAGAGAGTTTACAATAATAAGCGTTCATACCTCTTTTCATATACTAGTGGGATACTTTCCCGTAATGTCGTCCTTTATGGATTCTGAGCGGTGACACAAGTATAGGTCACTGACTTTTGTTCAACTTGTCATAACCTCCTCCCTCACTTCCAGTATGGACATCATTTATGGACAGCCCCTAATAATCAATTTCATTTTATCCATTTGTAAATTTGTAAGCCAGAACCATAGGCAAAGTAAGCACTGATTTAGGATGCTAATGGACTTCCAGAAGTGAAGTATATTTCTGTATATTTCCATATTTAGATTATTTCTTAATTCATTGTTACTTTGTTCTTTTTTTCCTTTTTTATTTTAACAATAAAAAATATCTGAAAAAAATCATTAATTTTAAAATTTCTTACATCAGCAATTTCTTATTTTAATATAACTTTATAAGAAACTGACTTTCAGTTGTGTGAAAGAAAGTAAAAATGTAATCCCTATGTGCTAAGACATATTTTGTATTAGATGGTGCTTTGTTGCACGCTTTACAGTTTTTTGGTCATAGGTCACTGTCTTGTTTGGTCTGCTACGTCTCTGTATGGCATGGTGTCTCCCCTCATCCAGCTTGCTTTTGTGTTACATATAACTGTATATTTCTGTGCGTCGTTAGATTAGTTTATTTGCTTCATTTTCTGATAAGTTGCTTATATAGTTTTATTTATTTTTTTCAATTAAAAACTTCATTTTACTCTGAAAATATTAAGAACTAAGAAAAAAGAAGGGTTAATTTTATCAGTGCAAGAATCAAAGTATCAGTCTTTCTGATAAAAAAAATAAAATATTTCCTCATTGTTATTGAATGGCTGCATTTTTAATTTTAGTGGCACAATAGTAATAGAAAATTTATTATTTTTAGATAACTTTTTTGAAAGCATTTAAGATATGTAATTTATCAATATTATGAAAATAGAATATATAGAGATAATAACTAATAANTTTAAATATAGAGAAACCAGGAACTTGTCCTGCAATTTCCTTGCTTGATGATGAATGTACTTCAACTTGTAATTTAGACATGGAATGCAGTGGAGTTCAAAAATGCTGTTTTACTGAAAATTGTGGAAAAATATGTTTGGAACCAGCAAATATAACATGTAAGTTAAAGAAATGTTAAAAAATAAGTGCCATTTTTTAAAAATATTCTTGACTTTGTGTACAGTAAATTTTAAAATATCTTTGAAAAAGTATAAGTTAGACACACTCTTAAAGTCAATAATTATGATACAATTATCTCTCTCATATAACATGGTAGTTAGATTCAGAGAACTATATGATTCTGTAATATTATGCTTATTAATTTGAATATTTTATAGGTAGCAAACAAGCAAGGAGTTTAGATCATTTATGCCCTGTTGGCTTGCCATTAATGGTACCTGATAATAAAAAACCATTTATTTGTGGAATAGAACCCAATAAACCTCAGTGTCCAGTTAATTATTTTTGTGAAGTTTTACCAAAGAACGACTATGGAGTATGTTGTCCTCTTCTTGGTATGAATGTTTAAAAATTTTCAATATTTTTCTATTAAATTCCAATTATTTAAAAATTAAAAATTTTCAGAACATTAATTAATTACAAATTTCAATAAATGTATATTTCAATATGTATATTTAAGTAATTTCAACAGTTTATAAAAATTATTGATTTTAAAAAATATTTTTCTTTATTACTCACCACTAAGTCAGACAATAATACAGTTTAATAAATAAAGCATTATAAGATGTATTTATTATCTGTTGTTATATTTGAAAGAAATAAGATATTGAGAAGCATTAGAAGATTAAGAGATTCTAAAAGATTTACATTTGTAGCAAGCTATCACAAAAAGAAAGACAAGTGAAAGTACTGGTAATGCAAAAATAAACTTTAAAACTTTAAAAATATGAATTGTAAACAAACTAAACTAAGAAAGATTGCCAGATTCTTTAAAGACTGTTAATTTTTTAGTTTTAAAATCATATTTACATTGTTAAAAAAATTCAATTTTTAAACATTTTTCACTAAAGTAAACACACTATCTATTAATAACTTTAATCATTAAATAAGTTGAATTAAATAATTTGCATCTTGTGAAAGGTCATTAAGTGTATTACCTATTATACACATATAAATATTCAAAGTCAAACTCCCAGATTTAAGAATTAATAATTATCTTGTACATTACATTAGATTTAACTGTGCAAGTAGAAGTATGATATTTAGAGTCCTTTATTTTTCTTCAACTTTTTCTAAGTTTTTGTTGAAAACAGTAAGTAAACTATATACATCTACCAAAAGGAAAAGTAAAAGTAGAAATGTCGTATTGTATCAATGGAAAATATTGATTAGTAAGTTAATTTATGGAACATTATTAACAGTTTTTCTACTTTGAAAAATGTGAAATATTTTAAAAATGCTTTTGAATGCTTTAAGCGATTTGAAATATTGATTTGTTTATTAAAAAAAAAAAAANAACTTTTCAAAAGAATTTGTTGTCTTTCTGACCAATTAAGGTGTCACTCATTGAAGAAAAATATTTTTTTCTTTTTGGCTTTAATTATATTACTATATATTTTTTTGTTTAACAGATATTGCATTAAATAGTAGGTCAAATTAGTCTTCTGAAATATCTGTAGACTTTGTTGTTTTTTAATTTTGTAATAATAACATTTTTTATCAAACCAATTCTGTTTAAATTTGTTAGTCGTTTCATTCTTACTATTTTTAAAAAGAATGACTGTAATAATTTCATTAAAAATTCATAGTTCTTATATAGATTATTATTCTTTTCTTGTGATAACAGTTCTTTGGATTTGAAAGTCAGTTCTCTCAGATATCTTTGAATATTAAACTTTACTCTCGGTCTATTCAAAAGTTTTGAGAGTACTGTACATCAGACTGTTTCGTTAGTTTGATTGTATCCTTATCCCCTTTTAATACTAGATTTATAGGAAAGTGATCAGACATATCTATATTTAGAATTTCCATGGACAAGCACTGATCTGTCATAGATTGAGAACATATAATAAAATCTATAATAGATTTTCCCATGTGAGATATGAAGATAAATTTAGCCAGATAATCACCTTTGATTCTACCATTCAGTAGAATCAAATCATTTTCTTATATAAAATTTAATAACGTATAAGCATCTGTAGATACAGATTTATCTTTCGATAGGCTTATATTTTTAATTGTGTCGCACTATTGCCTTTATATTTTAGATTCATAGTTTCTCCAATACGAATGTTAAAATCCCCACCGAATATCCAATAGTTTATAATATTGGTCCATGGATTGATAACTTTTTGCAATTCTTGAAAGTTTGTCTTTTTATCTGCTGAAAGAGAAAAATATGCAAGTATTAGGCCAATTCATGATTCTCTCTATAATAACTGGGGATTCTGATTAATATCTATTATTAGAAATATAAAAGCGTTAGTTATATGGCATGAGTATATCTTACCAAATATTTTCTTCACTAATAATATGAGACCGCAAGAAGGACGTCCAAATTTGCTGTATTGAACTAATATTGAATGATTTGTTCAAGATATTTCTTATCTTCCTCACACCGATCAATAATCCAGGTTTCTGTAAAATCAACAACAGAATGTTGATTTATATATTCTCTTATATCAGCATTTTGGAGTTTTCCCTGTAGTCCCTGTATATTCCAGAACCAAATAATAAATTAAAGTTATCATTAGTGTAGGGACAACAATTAATAGATCTATCAGACTCGACCTGAATATCTGTATTAATATTATCCTCATTATTAAATACCATTTTGATAGTATTGGAATTAAATAAATCTTTTTCTGTATTTATTTTATCCAAATCCAAGAATTTATTCAAGTTTATTCTAAAAAATTATCCAATTGAATAACTGAATCTAAGTTGATATCATAGGTAAATACTTTCTTATCATAAATGTAATAATTATCTCTGATAATTATTTTGTTCCCTTTTATTTTCTCCTGTTTAATTATAGGCAATAATTTTTTTCGACTGAATCTTACATATATCAGTGGTAAAAATCACTTTTCTATATCACTCATTGTTAAAATTAGCTCTTGATTTTCAAAATATTTTTAGAATAAGATTTCTACTGTATTTGGAATCTACTGTTATTTTGACCATTGGATTAGTACTTTTGTCATTTAATCTAATTAAACTTTCTAAGAAGCAGTCTTCTATTTATAATATCGCTTTAACAAATTGATTAATTTCATTTATATAATCCGTATTAGAAAAAGGGTAATTTATAACAATAATATTGTTTTTTGTTTTTTCATTAATTAATTAATCTAATTCAAATTCTAACATATCTTTTAGATGACTATTGTGCTTAACTAGTGCATCTAGGTTTTTCATTTTGAGTTAAATTCTGTATTTCTTCCTGATATCTTTTATTCTCTTCTTTCATATGTTGTAGTTTATTTTTAATGCCTTGAATATCATGACTTAACTGAGAGAAATTGTTTTGTATCAATTCATAAATGGATTTTAAGGAATATTGTGAGTCTGATTGTACCTGAGGTTCCTTAGCAGATGAAGATTCAAAATATTCTGAGATTTTCGAAGGTTTGAAAGCTCCTAAGTTATATCCAGTAGAATCCTCCTCCAGCTGTAAAAATTCCTCACACAATATTTCTTCCTCTGGGTATTCTGCATTTAATTCTTTAGTACTTTCTTTACAAGGCTGACCTCACCCCCTCTTTTGCATATTGAAATGGCCTACTTCTTGAAGAGAATGGGGAAAGGACCTGGATTGGGTTCTATTCCAGCCATTATTAGAAGGCAAATGTGAGGTTTCTAGGGATTTTTAGATTCAAACCCCACTCCCATGACACCAATTTGTGAGCCGCTGGGGAGGTCGGGAAGTCCTCTCCTTCTGGCCACAGGTCGGTGACCTACTTTTCTTGTCAGGGATGGTAGTAATGTTCGGTTATTCGTTATGCAAGTGGAGGAGAGTCGGAGGGGTCGACAATAAGACGTTGGCAAAGTCGAGTAACGACACCATTTAAAAAACAAACAAGAGTTTATTAACCTAACTAACTAAATAAAATTTATACAAAACTTCTTAGACTTTGCAGATGAGAGAGAGAGTTTACAATAATAAGCGTTCATACCTCTTTTCATATACTAGTGGGATACTTTCCCGTAATGTCGTCCTTTATGGATTCTGAGCGGTGACACAAGTATAGGTCACTGACTTTTGTTCAACTTGTCATAACCTCCTCCCTCACTTCCAGTATGGACATCATTTATGGACAGCCCCTAATAATCAATTTCATTTTATCCATTTGTAAATTTGTAAGCCAGAACCATAGGCAAAGTAAGCACTGATTTAGGATGCTAATGGACTTCCAGAAGTGAAGTATATTTCTGTATATTTCCATATTTAGATTATTTCTTAATTCATTGTTACTTTGTTCTTTTTTTCCTTTTTTATTTTAACAATAAAAAATATCTGAAAAAAATCATTAATTTTAAAATTTCTTACATCAGCAATTTCTTATTTTAATATAACTTTATAAGAAACTGACTTTCAGTTGTGTGAAAGAAAGTAAAAATGTAATCCCTATGTGCTAAGACATATTTTGTATTAGATGGTGCTTTGTTGCACGCTTTACAGTTTTTTGGTCATAGGTCACTGTCTTGTTTGGTCTGCTACGTCTCTGTATGGCATGGTGTCTCCCCTCATCCAGCTTGCTTTTGTGTTACATATAACTGTATATTTCTGTGCGTCGTTAGATTAGTTTATTTGCTTCATTTTCTGATAAGTTGCTTATATAGTTTTATTTATTTTTTTCAATTAAAAACTTCATTTTACTCTGAAAATATTAAGAACTAAGAAAAAAGAAGGGTTAATTTTATCAGTGCAAGAATCAAAGTATCAGTCTTTCTGATAAAAAAAATAAAATATTTCCTCATTGTTATTGAATGGCTGCATTTTTAATTTTAGTGGCACAATAGTAATAGAAAATTTATTATTTTTAGATAACTTTTTTGAAAGCATTTAAGATATGTAATTTATCAATATTATGAAAATAGAATATATAGAGATAATAACTAATAACTAGTATGACTATTTTTACTACTATTTATTAATTGTAGTGATTTCATAATCATATAATTAAAATAAAATCTCACTATATAGAATAATTTAGTTTTAACTGAATGTATAGATTATATTTAGTTAAAAGATTTTAAATAAATAAATAGTGATATTTTATTTTAATTAAAATTTATTAAAAAAATTTAAGAGATGTGTATTTCTCAGTATGGCAGTTATCATCATTGTAACAAAATATGCATCTCTTGAATTTTTCTTATAAATTTGAAATTATTCTATTTATCATATATTTTTTGTTTTAGTGTGTTTACAGAAACAACAATTTGTACAATCATTGTTGAAACAAAATCCTACAAATGAAATTTACATTCCACAATGTTCAGAAACAGGAGAATTTATTCCCAAACAATGTAATAATGATGGACGATTATGTTGGTGTGTTGACAGAAATGGAACACACATTCAAAGTACAATGGGACCATCAGAAATTGTGAACTGTGAAGATTTTATAAAAGGTGAATTTATAAAAGTCTGAATTTCTTGTTTAACATATATATTTTCAATAATCATATATTTTTAGTCATCAAAAAATGATTCAACTTTGATAAGTAAGTATAAATGTTAAAAGACTTTATTTGAGTCTTATTTTTTAAAATATAAATATTAAAAGTTCGTAACTAGATGTACAGATATAATTCTTACCCGTATAAATCACGTTCTTACTTAAAATAATGAAGTGTCTATTAGGCTTTATTTGGGTAGATCATAAAATAATGTTTCCCAATATGATTTTAGAGAGGGTGTAGACAAAAAGATTACATTGTGCTGTTCTGCTTCTACTACATATTAGCTAAATACAAGTACATGATAGTATAGGTAATCAGTAGTGTGCTATTTACCCACATAGTTCTTATGCAATCTCTTCGCGTGGTACCAAATTCTGTCTTGCTTCCTATGAAAGATAGCAGCAGTTTAAATTGAAAAATCATACAGTGTCTCAAAATTAGTACAAAATATTTTTATCAGGTTAAAATACTCAAAGCAGAAGCAGCTGGATACCATCAAAAAATGGATGGGTAAAACTGCATGAGGCTTCTCCACAGGACCTCAAATGCTCAAAGATCATACAGAGAAGCAGAGTTATTCTATATACAGTATATATATATATATATATTACTCATTATAACTCAATATATATACTATCTCAGTATATACTGTATATATACAAGGCGTGTCCAGAAAGTAAGTACCGTTTTGGAAAAACTCACATAAAAAATCTTTTTTCAAAACAAAATTTATTTTTACATGAAAGAGCATGTCAGAAACTATGTTTCTACATAGTTACCACCATTGTTCAGACATTTGTCATATCGGGAAACCAACTTGTCTATACCCTCTTCAAAGAAAGATGCCGCCAGTGAAGACAGCCACTGCTGAACATTGGTTGTTGCGTGTTCATTGCTGGTAAAGCGCCTCCCTTCAAAATCACGCTTCAAGTTCAAGAACAAATGGTAGTCTGCAGGTGCGAGGTCGGGGCTGTATGGCGGGTGATCGAACTGCTCCCAACTGTATTGTTGAATAAGGTTTTGAGTGACACCAGCAGTATGGGGACGTGCATTGTTGTGAAGCAACACAATGCCTTTACTGAGATTTCCACGTTTTTTGTTTTGAATTGCACAGCAAAGTTTTCGCAATGTTTCACAGTATCGTTCTGCATTGATGGTTTCACCTCTTGGAAGGAACTCAACAAGCATAAAGCCCTGTCTGTCCTAAAACACAGTGCACATGATTTTTTGTGCTGACAATGTTGTTTTGAATTTGTGTCTTGTGGGGGACCATGAGTGCCTCCACTCCATCAACTGTTGTTTTGATTCTGGAGTGACATGACAAACCCAAGTTTCATCACCGGTAACAATTTTGTTTAGGAAATCTTTACCCTCTTCACTGTATCGGGTAAGAAATGTCAAAGCACTTCCAAGTCGCCTCATTTTGTGGACATCCGTAAGCATTTTGGGAACCCAACGGGAACACAATTTGCGATAATTTAAGCGATTTGTGACAATCTCATGCAAAACAGTTTTTGAAATTTGTGGAAACTCATCACAAAGTAATCTTATTGTGAACCGTCTGTTTTCAAGAATTTTCTCATTCACTTTTGCAACCAAACCATCATTGACAGCAGAAGGCCGGCCACTCTGTGCTTCGTCATGAACATTGGTGCGTTCAGCATTGAATTGTCGAATCCAATTTCTTACCATTCCATCACTCATTGCATTTTCACCATAAATCTCTACAAGTTGACAATGAGTTTCAACTAGCTTAACATTCTTTGCGTTCAAAAACTGTATTACAGAACGCACTTCACAGTCGGCAGGATCGGCAATCATCTTAAACATTGTGAACGCTCAGTAACACATAGAAAAACAACACAATCCGGCTCTAATGGTGTCACTGGACAGACGATCAGACATGTGTGTGCAGGTACTGAACTGCAATACTACCACTGCGGTGGCGGTAGAACAAAATGGTACTTACTTTCCGGACACACCTCGTATATTCTTCTTTGTATTCCACTAGTATTATTAATTTTTGCAAATATGTATATAGTTAAATTTAAAAATATCAATAAATTTACTTGTATTAAAGAAATCCATACATTCATGAATACTTTTTCAATGTTCAAATTGTAAACAACAAACATAATTTATTGATATTAATTAGTTGTACATTTTTTAATAAATATAATAAATTAAAAATTTATATTTTGCCAAATAATATATATTAATAATTATTTTTTATCACTTTTTATAATTAGATGAAGAGGATAACTGTAATAAAACTTGTGAGATTGAATGTGATACAGGATTCAAATATGATATGAAAGGATGTAAAATATGTGAATGTTCTGATCCTTGTGAGGTAAGCTTATACATTATAAAAAAATTTAAAAATTTTTAATATATTTCACTGAATCATCATATCTATAAATTTTTAGAAAATCACTTGTCCAGAAGGTTCTGTATGTATATTAATGAAAGAAGAACCTTGTTTTTCAAATTCTTGTCCTCCAGTTCCTACTTGTAAGTCAATATATTGTTAAGCATTTCATTATAATTTATGAAACAAATAAATATTTAAATATTTTACTATTAATTTAAAATAAAATTCAAGTTATTGAATATACTTTGTCTTTACTATAAAGTACCATATTTATTCAAATGTAAGATGCCGTTGAATCTAAGATGCACCTTACTTTCTACATACTCAACCATAAATTAAAAAAAAAAAATATGACTTGAGACTGAGACTGATTTATGTCAATAGAATCAGTTTTGTTGACTCAAATTTGTGTAGTATTTATTGCAAGTAAAGTAAGTTATTCATTACTGTTAGATCAAGAATATAGTTATCAATTATTCCATTTTAATTAAGATAACATTGATATAGTATCAATAGTATCAAAGTCAGAAACCTCTTCATTTTCTGTGTTAGGCTTTTCTGAATAAATAAGGATTCAATGCTCACATTTTCTCACAAAATTGTCTTCATTACCATTTAAGCATCAGAAATGCAATATTTTTTGAAAGAGAACTACATAAACTTTCTGGGAATTTCATCCAAGTTTTTATGTTATTAGTGTAATAGACTAATTGAAATTGAGCTAAATTGGCCTCTTAAATATTTATTATTTACTATTATGAATATTGGTCTAATAAAATCATTAAAATAACATAATGGAATTAGCAACAGGAAAATAAGATGCATAGCACTAGAGGTAGCTAATAATGGCATATATTAAATCTAAAACACCTCATTTTCAGACATACTAAAACCTGATAAAAAGCATGTCTTACATTTGAGTAAATATAGTATATTTTTATCAGAGTTATCAATTTTCAACTACAAGTCTTTTATTCAAATAGATCTTGAACAGTTTGTCTAAAGTTATATGCAAAATGAAGTTAGTAATTACTTCTCTTCAATTCTATACAATCTTGCATTAGTACTGTAGAGGATTTCAATAGTTCTCTCTTTAGATAATTATAAAATCAACGTATAAAATAAATAATTTTTAACAATTACTCAATATTTTAAAAAAGAGTATTTAAGAATGATCTGTAATCTATACTATGTTTCAATTCCATATCTTCAATATCAACGTATAAATGGTCAAAATACTGTAATTTTCTAGGAATTATCATTTGATAATTCCTAGAAAATTACAGTATTTTGACCATTTATACATTGAGTGATCGGTTAACAAACAGTTCAGACTGCGAACAAATTGGACAAAGAACACTTTTGCGAAAGATTTTTATGTTTGGACAACAAACACATGTTTGGATAACAAATACCTGACAGAACAAACATAAGAAGAAGCTATGCTGCATTTAAGATTTGTAAAACTATATTTTAATGGCATCTATACATGGTTAATGGAATGAGACTTTCACGGCTGTATACATAACCATTTTTGCACTAGTTAATTTCTGTTCTCTGAATTTTTGTAAGTGCTTTTATGAACTTCTTGTTTAAAAACTGATAATATTATGGGACCTAAAAAGACTGGAGTGCCAAGAACTGTGTTCACTATAGAAACTAAACAAGAGATAATAGCCAAGGTAGAGAATGGGCAGAAGATGTCTGATGTTGTATGCAGATGACTTCAACAGGTCTACAGTAGATATAATCTTAGCTAAGAAAGATATAATCAAAAGACTCAAGAAGATAAAGGAATAACGAAAATCGCATCTGAGAAACAAAGATGTGCCATCTGTGAAAAAATGGAGAGATTGCTTTTAGTTTGTTTTTACATGTAAATAAACATAGTAAAAAGTGTATAATTTTTTATTTATTTTTTGGGGTCTCCAGAATGAATTAATCAAATTCTGACAAAATCTATGGTAAATCAACAGTCTATTAACGAACAATTCAGATAGTGAACATGGCCTAGGAACAGATTATGTTTGTTAACTGATCACACACTGTATATTGATATAAGAGTACTTAAGGTTTTTCAATAGTTACATATAAAGTTTTCAGTTCAATTAGAATGTTTGCAAATTTTACTTTAATAAAATATAATACTCAAAGTATATAATTTGAAATATAAAATATAATATTTAAAAGATTTTACAAAATTTCAGGTTAAATCAATGTTATCTTAATTAAAATTGAGTGATTGAGAACTATACTCTTGATCTAATATGTTTTCATATGTAAAAAAATCATTCTTTATTTAGAAATTCAGAATAAATTATTTGATGTTTACTTTGATTATTGAAATATGATTAAAACTTTGAATAGATTTAGGGTTAAAGTGAAACTTGTGCATTTAGAATATGCCAAATGTGAAGCATAAAAGAGCATATTCGAAATGATGTTGACATTATATATATAATTATTTCTTAAATAAATTTTCATTAATAATGTTAATTTTTTAATTTAAATCATAGTTTTACAGATGATTTATATAAAGCATAAAAGCATTACTTAAGTCATTGATATGTGTTAATATGCTATCAAGTAATGTAACAAGAATTTTGTTCTAATAAGATAGGATTTTCTTTCTATATATTTTATTGATGGTTACAGTATTTTAGTTGAAATTTATTTACATTTAAAAATATAATTTTAGTTAAAACAAAATGTACAGAATATATTATTTTTTAAAGTAATAATAATAATTTTAATTTGTCTTTACAAATGTGACATCTTTGTACAAAATTATTGACTATTTTAGAAAAGAATTTAATATCAGAAATTTATTACAGGTCATAAAAAACAAATGTATAATTGTAGTGATGGCATACCCTTAACAAGTAATATCACTGGGAAACTTATTAATTGTAGTGATGAAAATTGTCCATCAACACATGAATGTGAAATTTTAAATGAAGAAAATTTTGGTTTATGTTGTCCCAAAACAACAGATATTGGTAAATATATTTTTTAAACTTTTAACTAAATAATGTGTAAAAAATTTAATACTATTTTAAAAATATTGCAGTAAAAGTAGAGAGAAGAAAATTACGTAATGTGTTGTAACTGATTTTTTCCTCCCTTTTTTTGTAGGATATTTTTACATAATTGCTCTGTATTAGTATTTGTTACATAAATTAAAATGCTAGACAAAATTAGTTTAAATATACTTCCAGTTTACATTCATTTTTAATAATTAGCATTTTTTATTATTATTAAGCTAATCAAAACTAAAAGTAACACTAATTATATTAGTTAAAATGTATCTTTAGTTATATTTTATAATTAAATTGTAAGCATTTTTAAGTTATTAAAATATTTTTAAATTTTATTTTATTATTCTTATTTTTGTGCAATTAGCAACGAATAGTAAATTCAAATTTTGAAATTACATAAGCTGTTTTTTTTCAAGCTCTGATGGTCCATAAAAAAAAAAGACAAGTGTAAATAACAAAATTAATTTATTACCAAAAGTTAGGTACAAACATGGTTACTTTTTGACATAATCACTGTGAAGATTGAGACATTTGTTATATCTGTAGAAGAGCTTTTCCATCCCCTTGTCATAGAATGTTGTTGCCAATGACTTGAGATGGGCCCTAACATTTTTTTAAAGATCGTCATTAGTCTCAAACCTCTGCCCTCCTAGCCACTTTTCCTGTTCAGGAAAGAGGTGGAAGTCACTTGGTACTGAATCAGGACTATACACTGGGTGTTTAAAGGTGATGAAAACTTCCACCTTTCAGACTTCCATCCAGCTTAAAACTTTTTAATGTGTGAAGACTTCCATCTCTTTCCTGAACTGAAAACATGGCTAGCAGGGCAGAGTTTTGAGAGTAATGAACTAATGACGATCTTCAAAACAATGTTGTTAAGGCCATCTCAGTTCACTGGTGGCAACATTCTATGACAAGGGAATGGAAAAGCTTGTCCACAGATATGACAAATTCCTCAATCTTCACAGTGATTATGTCAAAAAGTAACTATGTTTGTACCTAACTTTTGGTAATAAATTCATTTTTATATTTACATTTGTCTACAAAACCGCCCTCATACAAAAATCATATTTCATGAAATGCATGTTTTTAAATTTTATGTATTAAGCTCTTATAATATTGTTTTTTCTTTCTTAGAATTTAATTTTGGAAATTGTTGCATCTAGAAAACTGGAAAAATCCCTTTTTATAATTCCAGTCTTTTAAAAAATAGTTTCAAAAAAAGATGTCTCAATTTTTATCAATTTAATATATGACCATTAATTTAATTAGCTTCTTGTTTTCATTTTAATGTATAGGACATAGAAAGCGAATCTTGTTGTTGCAAATTTTGTTGAAAATATGAAATCTATATCATCTTTAGATTAATTTAGTTTTAGTTTCTTACATTTCTTTTTGTAAGAACATTTAAAATTTTTATACATGCATAATCTCAAATAATCAAGATTTATAGAAAATGAATTGCCAAAAATTGGTTGCAAATATTTTATCACAATTTTTAATAAAAAATCTTTTTATGAAATGTTTGCATGTGAATATTCTGATCAAAAGCTTCATTATATTCAAATATTAATTCATTGTATTTACATTATTCATCAAATTTATTATAAGCATGCAGTTACTTATCGAACATTACAATCAAATAAGAATTTAATTTATTTTAAATATTTAATTACTCTTAAATTGGCTATTATAATGAATGAAGTAAAAACCAATATTTACTAGCAAACTTTTTAATGGAGAATAAACATTTTGATTGATTATTGTACAAACTTAAACAATTGTAGACTTGTAGATATCACTGAAAGTTATTGAAAATGTTTACTTTTCTCATTAAATAGTTTGTTAGTAAATATTGGTTGCATTGGTATACATTGGTAGCATTATTTTAAATAAATTGGAAGAACTTAATTATTTCTTTAATAGTGAAATTTTGATTTATATTGGAAAAAATCTAATATTTCTATTGAATTTGAAGTAAAACTACAAATATAATGAAAATAAATATAAAATAAAATTATTTGAAAAATATTGTATTATTTAAGGTTTGGATTTTAAAGTTTTATTTTAATATTATGATAACAAGATGTAAGATTCATTGATCCAATCAAAATTCAATAATCCATAAGCAGTTTTCTAATGCTTATATGCTTATGGATTATTTAAATCAAATAGTTTTATTTAAATTTTATTTATTTCAAGAATGATTGAATTTTGATTTAATTTTTAATTTGTAAATAAAATTTATATTTATAAAATTACAGATATAGCAACATCAGATATTTGTCCAGAGTTTGCTGATGATGTAACATTATGTGAAAATAATACATGTATTAATGATTTTGATTGCCCTGATAATGCAAAATGTTGTCCATCACAATTATGTGGAAATAGAATATGTATACATTTTAAACCTTCAAGGCTTCCCACAAGTATGTTGTAAACCTTAAAATATATAATTAATTTTTTAAATTAATCAATAATTTTTCAAATTCTTTATTTTTAGTGTGCGAGTATTTAAGAGATATGGGTACTAAACTTGAAGAAGAAAAAATTGGTCCTGGTGTATTGGCAATTCCAATCCCAGACTGTAGACCTGATGGTACGTATGAATCTATTCAGTGTGATCGAAGTGGACAATGTTGGTGTGTTGACGATTTTGGAGTGGAAATAATGAATACAAGAGCAGTATCTAGGAGTAATGTTGATTGCAATCAAGGTAATAATAGTAATTTTATTAATGGTTTTGTCTGGTTTTAGTACCTAATTGAACATATAATAATTTAGCATTTTATACAACAAAACCAGATAAAAAAATATTGTAAATTATAGCCTGTATTATTATGTAAGCATTAATGATATTTGTAATTTATGAAATGTACATAAATATAAACATTTATTTATTACATTCATAAATTTTAAAAATAATTTTTTTGTCCCATTTAAAACCATTTGAATCCAATTTATCCATATTTGTTTGTAGGTAATTATATTTTTTCTTTATCTACTTATATTCGCTTATAAAAATTTTATTCTATCTTAGATATAAAATTTTTATAAACAAATATCTCTTATATAACACATGTATGATCAATGAAAATAAATAATTCATTGTGTATTAGATAATATAAATGAAAATATATACAAAAACTTTTTTATATATATACTATAAATTCTGCATATAAATTCTTACAGAGAAATATAAAAAGAGATAGTTCATTCAAATGTTTAAATTACACAAGTAATAAAATATAATTGAATTATTTTACACACAAATCTACAAGAATATTATGAAAACAAACAGTAGCAAAGTATATCTATATTGAATGCAACTAAAAACACTTGTGATTCAAATATATGAATATTTGATAGTTCTGTAATAAATCTTTTAACTGTTCTTATTTCTAAGCCTTCTCATGATTTATGAGAAGGCTTAGAAATAAGAACAGTCAAAAGAACCTAATGAAGTAAGTGTTTGTTGTCTGAATGCAAGTATGTTGGACAAAAATTTATTGAAAATATTGAAAATTAAATATTAATTTTTATTAATATTTCAGTAATGAAGCAGACAAAAATATAGAATAATGAAGCAGACAAAAATTTACTTTGAAAAAATAAAAAAAATTTGCTTTGAGATATAAGATATGCAATTTATTAATTTGATTGAAAAATAAGATTGTTTCTAAATTTACTTAGGTGTTCCTTATGAAAAAGCAAGACCAATATAATATAAATAACAAATAATTTATATAGTCTACTATTAGAAGGAGAATTGAAATTAAACCCAATTAAGTTTCACTTTTCTTCTTGATATTTATCTTGAGTTATGCTCATTTCTGTATTTTATTAATTTTTCTCCTCTTAAACTGAACAAGAACTTCAAAAATCATTTAAGAATATTGTTTATTAAATATGATTTGGTTCAAAATATTTTAATTGTGTATATGATTCTTTACCTAAAAAATGGTTTTTATTTAATGTAATTTAATTTATATAAGGTTACTGAATCATACTTAATTATTTCCCAGTTTATCCATTTAGTGTTAATTTAAATAAATTATTCTGCAATTTTTGTTAAGATTATTAAAATAGATATTCATAATTTTATAAACATTAAAGAATTTCTATTAATATTAATAGATCTTAATGAATTTTAAGAGTTTTTGTTTTATCATAGCTCGAAGTCAGCGTCCATGCTTAGGTCTTGTCTGCAGACTAGGATGTGACTATGGATTTGTTCTTGATGATAAAGGATGTCCACTTTGTGAATGTAGAAATCCATGCAAGGTAAAATAAAAAAAAGTAGAAATAGAAATACACAAATTTACAAAGAAAGAATTTTAGATACATATTTATATCAGTAGGATTTATATTAATCGATAAAATAAATTTTTTACAAATCGAAACAGTAAAACAACCATGAAATAAATTTAGCACTAAAATTATTTCAAGAGTTTCCAATATTTTTTAATATTGACTTAGATTTATTTATTAGTTAATATTATTAGACTTACTTATTAGGAATTCATCTTTTCATATATTTATTTATTCTCTTATGTGTTTTTGTATTGTAATAATTATAAAGAATGTATCTTATTTCAAAATTATATAGTTATATTATTTACTGGTAAATGTTATATTTTTAATTGATATGATCATAATTTCAATATTTTCTTTCAAGAATGTAAAATGTCCAGAAAATAACATTTGTCAGTTTTATGAAGTAAAGTGTGCTTCAAATTGGTGTCCACCTTTACCTCAATGTAAGTTTAAAAATTTTAACTTTAATATCTTAAAATTATTAAATTTTAATTCACTGTTTTTTAAAGAAAATTAAATCTCTAGTGGTTGCAAAGCATTCTAATGTATTATCAATTGTTTATATATATTAAAATTGAATATATTATTGAATAATAAAAACATATTGTATTCAGTATAAAAATTATTAGCATTATATTATGTTAATTTTGTGCTTATTTTTAGTAAGTTCTTCTCCTTAATCTTTATTGTTTATAATTAGTATTTTTCTATAAAGTTTAAAGTGATAATATAGCAGAAACTTTTTTATTTCTAACATTGACATAATATTAGAATTATATTTGCTGATTTAGCAAATATAATTCTAACAATATTATGTCAATGTTACTAGCAATTTACTAGCTCTTTAAATTGCTTCTTTATATTATATTTTAAAGTATTCTAAAAAATTTACTTTGAAAAAATAAAAAAAATTTGCTTTGAGATATAAGATATGCAATTTATTAATTTGATTGAAAAATAAGATTGTTTCTCAATTTACTTAGGTGTTCCTTATGAAAAAGCAAGACCAACATTTCCAGAATGCCCTGTGGGTAGTCCTATGGTTTATGAAGACACAAATCTACCTGTTATCTGTGATCCTAAATCTAATTATCAGTTGTGTCCTCTTGATCATATCTGTACAATTAATCAACCTAATGAAGCAGGTGTTTGTTGTCCAAATGCAGGTATGGTGGACAAAAATTTATTGAAAATTAAATATAAATTTTTATTATTAATTAGAAAAAAATTCTAGATATTAATATAATATATATAACAAATAATTTATATAGTCTACTATTAGAAGGAGAATTGAAATTAAACCCAATTAAGTTTCACTTTTCTTCTTGATATTTATCTTGAGTTATGCTCATTTCTGTATTTTATTAATTTTTCTCCTCTTAAACTGAACAAGAACTTCAAAAATCATTTAAGAATATTGTTTATTAAATATGATTTGGTTCAAAATATTTTAATTGTGTATATGATTCTTTACCTAAAAAATGGTTTTTATTTAATGTAATTTAATTTATATAAGGTTACTGAATCATACTTAATTATTTCCCAGTTTATCCATTTAGTGTTAATTTAAATAAATTATTCTGCAATTTTTGTTAAGATTATTAAAATAGATATTCATAATTTTATAAACATTAAAGAATTTCTATTAATATTAATAGATCTTAATGAATTTTAAGAGTTTTTGTTTTATCATAGCTCGAAGTCAGCGTCCATGCTTAGGTCTTGTCTGCAGACTAGGATGTGACTATGGATTTGTTCTTGATGATAAAGGATGTCCACTTTGTGAATGTAGAAATCCATGCAAGGTAAAATAAAAAAAAGTAGAAATAGAAATACACAAATTTACAAAGAAAGAATTTTAGATACATATTTATATCAGTAGGATTTATATTAATCGATAAAATAAATTTTTTACAAATCGAAACAGTAAAACAACCATGAAATAAATTTAGCACTAAAATTATTTCAAGAGTTTCCAATATTTTTTAATATTGACTTAGATTTATTTATTAGTTAATATTATTAGACTTACTTATTAGGAATTCATCTTTTCATATATTTATTTATTCTCTTATGTGTTTTTGTATTGTAATAATTATAAAGAATGTATCTTATTTCAAAATTATATAGTTATATTATTTACTGGTAAATGTTATATTTTTAATTGATATGATCATAATTTCAATATTTTCTTTCAAGAATGTAAAATGTCCAGAAAATAACATTTGTCAGTTTTATGAAGTAAAGTGTGCTTCAAATTGGTGTCCACCTTTACCTCAATGTAAGTTTAAAAATTTTAACTTTAATATCTTAAAATTATTAAATTTTAATTCACTGTTTTTTAAAGAAAATTAAATCTCTAGTGGTTGCAAAGCATTCTAATGTATTATCAATTGTTTATATATATTAAAATTGAATATATTATTGAATAATAAAAACATATTGTATTCAGTATAAAAATTATTAGCATTATATTATGTTAATTTTGTGCTTATTTTTAGTAAGTTCTTCTCCTTAATCTTTATTGTTTATAATTAGTATTTTTCTATAAAGTTTAAAGTGATAATATAGCAGAAACTTTTTTATTTCTAACATTGACATAATATTAGAATTATATTTGCTGATTTAGCAAATATAATTCTAACAATATTATGTCAATGTTACTAGCAATTTACTAGCTCTTTAAATTGCTTCTTTATATTATATTTTAAAGTATTCTAAAAAATTTACTTTGAAAAAATAAAAAAAATTTGCTTTGAGATATAAGATATGCAATTTATTAATTTGATTGAAAAATAAGATTGTTTCTCAATTTACTTAGGTGTTCCTTATGAAAAAGCAAGACCAACATTTCCAGAATGCCCTGTGGGTAGTCCTATGGTTTATGAAGACACAAATCTACCTGTTATCTGTGATCCTAAATCTAATTATCAGTTGTGTCCTCTTGATCATATCTGTACAATTAATCAACCTAATGAAGCAGGTGTTTGTTGTCCAAATGCAGGTATGGTGGACAAAAATTTATTGAAAATTAAATATAAATTTTTATTATTAATTAGAAAAAAATTCTAGATATTAATATAATATATATAACAAATAATTTACTTAGTTAAAAATTTACTTTGTTCTATAATAGATAGATGTCATAAAAATCTATTAAATTAATTTATCTCAATATTCAATTTTATTATCATCATCAGTTCTATATGGAATGAATTAAACACTGTATTATTATAATAATTTATTTTCTCTTGACAAATATTTTATCTTATGAATATTTATTATTAATCATATAATAATCATTCATTTTTCATATTCACAATAAATCTGAGTTATTAATTTAATATTAATAAATAAGTAAGCATAAATTATATTTGTTTAGCAGATAGAACATACATTCATAAAACAGATTAGAATTTTTCATTCAGTAGAAGATAGATTTTTCAATTCTTTGGTTGGATATATGATTTACATCAAATTGCAAGGTTTCTTAATGTTGGTGAAACACATCATCATCTCAATCTATATGTAACAGAAAATATGAGAAAAGACAAATTTGGTTTAATTCATGCCAATTCTTCTACAATTAGTGCAATTTTTTGCAGATATAATCAGTGCTGGCTTATATCCTGCAGAAAATTTCAAAAAACAGAACAGAACAGAAATAAAACTTTTGCATAACTCTGCACCTCCAGAGCAGTTGTTGAAAGCATGACATGTACCATTTTAAACATTAAAATAAAGTTTTTTTTCTGTTTTGCTTCCTTTAGCAATTTTTCCTTTTCACTTATTTTAGTTAAAAGCTAAAAATAAATGAAATGGAAAAATAGAATACTAAGGCTGAATATCCTAAACTTTAAAAATATTGAAAATACAAATAGCTACCAAATGATAATTGTTTTTTTTTCACTCCATCACTTTATTTCATTTTATACATAATATTAATAAAATGTATGATTTTTCAAGTTTATATTAACATTTATTAAATAGAAAATAGTTTTGATGTTGACAATATCCAACATCACAGATTTAAAAATCAATTGTATCACTCTTATTCACTGTAGAGAACTATATATCTTGTTCAAATGCATTACCACAGAAATGAAAAGACAAGAATTTTTATAGTCTAGTACCATTACAATTATCAACTTTCATGTCTTAATCAACAATGAGTGTGAATAACTGCTCATTTTCAAAAATTTTTCTTTTGTTGGACAGACTGTAAATATAAAAGTCATTATCTTAATTATAAATACAGTACAGCATCGATTATCCGAATCAATTGGTGACTGGGGTTGTTCGGAAAATCTATATTTCAGATAACCGATTATGTACGAAAAAATATATTAACCTATCCCATGTTGAAATTTTTCTCCATTGCGTGTCGCTTCGTGTTGAATTTTCATCGATGTTAAGCCTAACGAAGACTATTGTATCATTAAAAATTATTTTTTTTATTTTGTACAAACAAAATAAATATATTGAAAAATATAAAAACAATAAAAAATTATACTTCAGAAGTTAATTTAGTATCAAAAACGTAAAATATTTGAGTAGCCCAAGACATAGCCAAAGATTGCAGCGCCACAGCACTGGCGAAAATTTAAATTTGCGACTGGATTTCTTTCGGATAATTGACTTTCAGATAATCGACACTCTACTGTATTATGAATACAAAATTGAAATTATGTAATGTTGAGAATTGATTAGAAAATAGTGTAAACAAAAGTAAAAGTATTACTCATGATCAAATATAAACTAATGCAGTGGTGTGCAATCCTTGAAAATGGTGAAATTGCCACTTCCCTTGTATTTCTAAAATATAAAGACATATTGTGTGATTATTTTCATATTTTAATGTACTTTGAATTAATTAAAATTAATATTTTATTATAACCACATTATGTATCTTATTACAAATTTCTAGACTACATGTGAAAAAAATGATAAGATTCCTATTGTGTATTTGAATATAAGTGGTGTAATGGAAGTGCTGTATTGTCGAATACGGACAGCTTCCAAGCAGCCAGATTATACGCATTTGTGCATGCGCTTTACAGAGCACCAACCTCAGACAGTTTAGCTGGTGGAAGCTACACACCAAAATATTTTATAACACTTACAATGATTCTAAACAGGACTGGTTCTGGGCTGTTAGCCACCTGCATGCTAGATATTTGCTCCATTATGTGAATCATGAATAGATTTATAACTTAACCCAACTGATAGGAGTTTACTGGTATGTTTTTATGATAGTTCTGCATAGTTGACAGGAGTTTAAAAAAAATCCATTAAAATATTTGATATATTTATTCTGCTCTCACATCTTGTATTACAGATTTCAATGTTAAACTAGTGATATTACGATTTATTATGTCTCATCTATAAGGGAATGCAGAAAAAAACTGTAGTATTCCCCCGTAGGATGAGGCCTTCAGGGCTAAACAAAATTTAACAGACAAGTCAGCTTTACAAATATAATAGCTTTTAATTAATTACTTCCCATTGCTACGATTGCAATGTATACATAAAACACAAAATTGACAAATTTTCACAGTATTCACATAATCAGGTATGACAACACACATGTTATGCACTTCCCTCCTCTCCTAAAAAAAGGGGCTCAAGTCACATTATAAGTGGGGGAACAAAAAAAGATGCGTAACAAAGAAAACTTCACAAACTAGTCTTTTTGGATAAATCCTCCGATGATTTTCTTTCCCTCTGACACGTCGTAGCTTGATGTAAAATCGTTGTTATTCGGAAGAAAACGGATTGCCATATATCTCTCTCTGTCTTCATTTTCGATCCTTTCAATCTCGGTGTCTCAATCTCCTATATACGTGGTCAGAACACTGCCAAACCTGGAACAAGGAAGAATATCTCCTCAGACATGTGGGTCACAACCTTTTATACCATGCCAAGTGGATATCCTCTTCACATAACTACTACTGACCAATCCGACGGCCAACATAGAGTGAACCCGGGAAGGGTGATGCTACAAACAAAACAGAAGGGGTTGGGGGAAAAACCAAAACAAAAAAAAATAGTTGCAAAGCACTACAAAACACATACAATTCTTGTACAATGCTAAAAAAAATGAACTGTTACTTTGGCAGCATCATTTACAACTAAATTTAATGAATGAGATGCACAAGATACCAAAAAAACTCTTTAGAATTTATTTTCCTTAAATTTACAATTTATATATCCGTTGTCATAAAAATTTGTCTTTCCACTACTTTCCAAAGACTACAAATATTCAAGTACAAAGTAGCTGTTTCAACTTATTTCTACTTAAGCAGTTGTTAAATAATTAAGAGATTAGGGAATTAGGGACGTAAATAAAACCCTGCTGAAAGAGCTGAAATTTTACTTAAACAAAAGCTTAACCAAACCAATCTCTAGCCAAGTACAGTGGGGACTTATTTCTTTGTAATATTAGATGTAATAAAGACAGAAATTTTTCCAGTTCAGTGAGAGTAACCGAAAAGTTGTAAATTTTGGAAATTTCCGTGGACACCTGGTCTTAAAATGAATTATAGTAGTTAGAAAACTAATGACAGACAATCTATTAAGTTTAACATATGTAGGTTTTTACAGCTATGGTGAGAAATGTTTAAAATTTACAACAACCCTGTCGCATCCTTTGAGGTATACTAGTGTTGTAACAAAAGAGGCATTTGACATTGACGAGTAGTCACCCACCAGTGGCCAAGTGGTCTTCATATCCTGAATATTGGGAATAGTTCAGTCGTGGATTCTCGCCTCGCTTGGACAGGCTGGCCACTTGGAGTTTTTCAGGTTTTCTCCATGTCTGTAATGCCTAAATAGGGACCAGTTTTCCTTAAAAAGATCTCCCAGACAGCATCCCCCTAGGCAGATCGCCCAAGTGTTGTGTTGCCATAACTTAACAACAACATTGATCGGTATCAGTACCCTCGGGATTTGGCAGTCCCGAGAAAGAATATTTTATGTTATTTTTATGTATGGTTTTTTACAAAGCTATATTTAATTATAATTTTCTTTAAAAGTATATTCATACAATTGAAGAATATTTTGTACCAGGTATGTATATCCACCACACATTTTATTTCACTAAGTAAATTTTTATTATTTTATTTTTAATTGTAGCCCTTATATCGTGGATAGCAATTCAGAATGTAATTGGGGATATTAAAAATACATTTAGAGAACTGTACAGTTTTTACTGGCTTATCAAACAAACAAATATGAATGGACCCTAGACCATCACCGACGTGCAATTAACTGATTGTCCCTGGAAGTCGGCTTCTTACAGAAACACAGTTTCCCTATCATCAAATGTCATGGCACACCACTGAATTAATAGAAGAATTGTCATTTGAAGTTTAATTAATAATAACTAATAGTTTTACTTCTTAAACATAATCAGAACTCTATTTTCTGTGCTTATCATAAATTATAATTGATATGCTATTTTAATTTCATTATCATAATTAAAGCTTGTCAGAATTTGAAGTACATACTTTGTGATAAATTCATTTAAGAAGTTGTTTCTAAAGAATTGATTGATAAATTATTTTAAACTGTCATTCATTATAATTATTGTTAAGAATATTCTATTCTTAAAAATAATTGTAATGGATTTTTAATTATAATTTTTTAAATATTCAATTAAAAATGCATTTTCAGTAAATTATTTGCCAGTTTCTCTTAATTCATATATATAATTTTTAATACTTAATCAGATTATTATGTCAATCATAAATATTTATTTTTTACTTAGTAAAATTTTTAAATTTCTATATTTTGACAAACTTGAACTTTATTTTATTTCTTTAGAATTAGGAACAAATTTTTTGAATAGTTCTGATGATATTTTATCATCTGATACAAAAAGTTCTCCAACTGAACTGACCAAATTGGGTGCATGCCCTAACATTCAATCATGGGAAAGTGAAATTTGTTCAGATGAATGTAAAACAGATAAGGATTGTACTGGTCCTCAGAAATGTTGCAAAAATGCTTGTGGAGCTTATATTTGCAGAGATCCAGTTGGTATGATGTTTATATATTTATCAAAATTCTTAAATATTTATTTTTATGCAATTAAATCAAAACTTATAGATTTAATTCATATTACATAATTTTCCTAATTTAATTTAATTCATGTAAATTACATTAGACAAAATTAAAATTTTAAAACTTTTTAGTTTGGTACTAACATTAATTTTATTGAATCCAATTTTGTAGTTTTTCAGTTACAATGGATTGAATTCTGTTTGATTTAAATAAATAATTTTGAATTTTAGGAATGACAGGAAAACCAGGACAATGCCCCTATCTTGTACCAGTAAATTCAGAATCATGTGATTATGAATGTTCTTCTGATTATGACTGTGATGATACACAAAAATGTTGTTCAAATGGTTGTGGTACTCAGTGTCTTTATCCTATTACATTAACTGGTAAGCATGTTTTTGTTATTAAACATTTAAACATATTTTTTATCAAACATTCTATTGAAAATTTTATTTTATTTTAAATATTATCTGTATTAAATGCTTATTTCATGTAGCTAACTGTTTAAATCTACACAAAAAATGTTTTTGTCATATTAGGAAGCTGTCCTAAAATAGAATGAAAAAGTTTCTTTGTGATAAATTTAAACAGTTGGCTATCTGAAATAAGCAAAGATGTGGATATGTAAAAATGTTTTTCATTTTATTTCATAGTATATTATATTCAGCTCTTTACATAAACTATGAATTATTGATTTTTATTTAAAAAATATATGAACATAAATATATTTGCAGCCTGTCAGCATCAAAGAGCAGTAGCTGAACACCGCAGTCGAGAACTAGGAATTCCTGCATCACGCATGTATTTACCTTTATGTACTAAAGATGGAAACTTTGAACCTATTCAGTGCCATCCAATTAGTCATATCTGTTGGTGTGTTGATGAAAATGGTGTAGAAATTGCAGGAAGCAGGACATTACCTGGAGGAACTGCCAATTGTTCTTGTAAGCATTATTAAGTTGTATTAAAAATTTTTTATATATACTAATGTATCAAAACACCTACTAAAACACCTTTTCTTGCAGCCGACGCTTTATTATAACGACTTTCAAACGTTTTCGATCTTATTAAAAGACCTTTCTCAAGAAAATAAAATTAACTAAGTAACAAAATAAACGACATAATCGTAAATCAAACGCTTAGTACGAATAACTGTTTTTTAAATCTTTCGAACTCGCTTATAATCCGTTGTACATGACGTCATTGTAACCGGAAATATAAAAAGATTACGTAACTATCTAAATATAAATACTTAAAGATGCCATCTCCCTACATCGTTCAAAAAATATAATTTGAGATACATATTCACTATTTTCTTCAATTATTAATTTTATATTAAGCTAGAGGACCATGCTGCTGATATTTTAGTCGATTCCCGGAAGTTGATTGCAAGGCCTTTATGCTTTGCCTTACAAATCTGCCAGGCTTCCGCGTAATGTCGGTGTCTCCTGTCTCGAACTATCTGCATTAGTCTTGCTTGGTCCCATTCAACATTGACGTCTTGCTGGTCCGCTAGAACGTAGGTGGCTAGCGCAGTGCAAGGTTGTTTTTTTCTTATATTTGCTTGATGTTCTGCTAACCTGTCTTTGATACTTCTTCCTGTTGCCCCTACATATATTAATTTACTTCGTCGCCTTGAGTCCGAAACTGGAATTTTATATACCCCGGGGAGTGTTCTTCTGTCCACTAAATCTTTATCAGATCGCAGTAGTTGGTACGTGGTGCGGGTTCTTTTATATATGATTCTTTTGTTCTGGGCCTTTCCGATGCGTCGGAAAATATTATTCAACGACGCATTATATTCCATCGTTAACACTCCTTCATTATGAGGTAAATTTCTCCTCTTAAGGCTCCTACTACTCTTGTTGGTAATAGCTTTAAGATTAATCCCGTACTTTCTGGCTAAGTTATATACATAATTCAGTTCATCCTTTCTATCATTTGCATTGTTACAGTGCGAATAAGCTCTTGCGATTAACGTTCTGAACGCTGCTATTTGATATTTTGATATTAAAATATGCAGTCTAGAAAGAAATACTAATGTATACTGTTTACTGATCTTAGCTATTATATTTTTTTACAGCTGCAGGAATTTGTGAACCAATTGACTGTGATTTACAATGCCCAAATGGCTTATATCTTGATGAGCATGGCTGTCCCATTTGTATCTGTCGTGACCCATGTCAGGTTAGTTACAAATATATAATTATAATTTGAATTATTTAAATTTTATTATTTAACAATTACAAATATTACAGAAATCACTTTTAGCCCTAAGTATAATTAAATTAATTAAAATATCTATAACCATAAGGCAGATAATAGTAAGGGCTTATCACACCAATGATAATGGGCACAAATGCTCAAGAATCAAAGTAAAAACATTTAATAAAACAAAAGGGTGTACAATAAGATGATTACATAAGTATAAAAAACCGTAAAAATCTAAAATGCATTTCGGAGTATTTTTCAGCAATATTTCGGCTAACTATTTTTGTATCAGCACCCTGTTTGTCACGTTACCATGCAACGTTAGGAAGAAATATTACTCCTGTCTACATTGATAATGCTTACTGCTCATACAGTCATGGCAATGGTTTCATCTTTATATTGTATAGCTTTAGGCATAGTTTTAAGTTTAATTTTAAATTTATTATTTTTTTCATCTTGTATAATTTTTAAGTATACTAAGATCTCTCGTTATTACCAACTGATGAGGGACTATTTTTCCATTGGAAAATAGTCCATAATGCATTTTGGATTTTTACGGTTTTTATACTTATGTAATCATCTTATTGTACACCCTTTTTGTTTTATTAAATATTTTTACTTTGATTCTTGAGTGTTTGTGACCATTATCATTGGTGTGATAAGCCCTTACTATTATCTGCCTTATGGTTATAGATATTTTAATTAATTTAATCATAAACAGTTCAATTTGGCAAATTTAATCTCTTAGTGATTTTACGTGTTGTTTTTCGGCAGTTTGCTTCAATCAGTACCTTTATTTTGTTTTCATTGGTTTCAATTGGCCATCCAGAACATGGTGCATCTTCAATATTGAAATTGCCAGAAACGAAATTTTGTAAACCAGTTTTGGCACTGTCATTCTGTCAATACATTTTCTCCATACATGTCACACAATTTTTTTCTAGCTTGAACAGCATTCTTACCTTTTCGGTAATAAAAGAGCAAAATATGCTGAAAATGCTGCTTTCTATCTTCCATATTTGATAGGACACAAAAAATGAACAATTGCACAAAATCAAACAAAATTTTTTACAAATAAGCCTCAAAATGCTTGCTGTCAAAATATTCAATGATAATATGGTTTAGAATGAAAATGGTGGGAAAAATACAACTAATCCGTCTAGTGGTAAAAAAAACAACCCAATTTCTGAACAACCCAATATTTTATGAAAAAGGCAGCATTTGTGGATTTGGCATAACATATATATTATAAAAATTGCTTATGCCTCAATATAATATATTAGGTAATGTGAAGATTTTAATGATAATGAATATGATATATTTATTATTTAACATATACATATTGGTAGATCTGTTTCCATTGAGAGTAAGAGTACAATATGCAATTTGTAAACTTTCTAGAGGGGGAAGATCACTTGGTTTATATATAGTAGTTTTACAATAGTATATCATTTTGAATAACTTTAAAACATGCATGAAACANAATTAAAATTATTTTTAATGGTATCACAATATTTTAAAATGTGAATATGATAATCCAGTAAAATTCTGCTCTAAACTCAACTTTTGTATTAAATTTTAAATCTTGTCATTAACATTTCAATATTTTTTCATAAAGTTTATTACGTTTTCAAGAGAGAACACAAATCATTATTAGAACACTCAGAAGTCTATTCCATTCTACTTTCCCAACCTTTAGATAATACTATCATGGAATATATTGAGACCACAATGCATCACATTGTGACCACAGGGTTAGAACCTCTTTGATGCCACGTCAGGACTGACACCATCATGTCTTTAACGGACACAAAAATCACGATGGCCATTAGTTATTACATTCATGCATGATCAGTCGTGTATGTAGATGCTTGGACTCAGAATGGAGATGGATTGAGATAACCAACCGAAGAAGTGCACTCCATAACAAATTTATCATTTAACAATACCCGTTTATTTACCTATACTATTTACAAATCTTTATACAGACATCAGTTTAGATGCTTAGTGAATGCTAGTTATAAAACATAGGGAAAAAGGTAAACCTTATCACAACCCTGACCACGTGAGAGAGTTTACAATCGTTTGCATGTTGATAAATACCTTAGTTCACAGAAGTTGGTCTATCTTCAGATTAGGGAATTGATCGAGGTTAGAAGCTTCAACGAGTCAAAAGAGGTGATGTCTCTATGTCTTGGGACAGGTGGATGTTAGACGATGATGGCTTAAGAAGTATCCAGAGGATCAGTGAGCCCATAAGTCCAGAGGTGGTGAACTGTTGGTGATAATAAATGAATGACGATTGTCATCAATCCCCTCTTTTTATTAGGGGGTCCTCCATGGGTTTTTCCCATGATCTTATTAGGAATTATTATACATCGGGGCCAATAGTTGAAATTTCGATTGTTGGTTTCAGGTGACACATTAGGAAGATGTCACCTTTGAAAAGAAGTGAATCCAGAGAAAGATATGATCATATCCTTCTAGTTTTTTATTAAGTGTTGGGGAAAAATAGAATTTTCTTCACATGAGTTTAAGTGTTATTTTTTTTTAAAACGAATGTGAAAAAGTTTATAGCCAAAAAAAATGTTCACTAAATCCGGGTTCTCACATCATCATTCCATCATTCCATTCAATCAAGTAAAAAAGACAGAATTGGCAAAAATGGTGCTAGATAATAATTTTGTCTCCATATGGAATAATATTGTTATTAAAATCAGTCATAAATCTGAAAACAACTTTTATTTGGGAAATGCTATTCATCTTAAAACAAAAACCAATTAATCAACCAACATTTACAGTAAAAGTTAACTATTTAAAAGATCATTATTATTCCAGATTGCTGAAACTTTATCTGCTAAATATCAAACTAAAACAATATTAGAAAATTTGAATCTATCTTTTTACTACAGAATTTCTTAAATTTTGATATAATATTTGATAGGGTTTGTCAGTTTTTAAAACCTGGTTTTAAAAAATCGATTTTTTGAAGAAATTTATGTAATTTGAAAACTGGGTTTTCCCAAATAAAAAAACCTGGTTTTTGAACCTAGACTTAAACACAAAAATTCATTAATTATTTGATTAAAAACATCAACATCTTGACACAAAACCATCTCTGGCATAAAACGGGAATATTGTTAAATACTAAGTTTCATAAAACTAACTACAAAAACAAAAAAATCCTATGTCTAAAAAGCATCCAATTCTCCTTACAATAGGGAGAAATCTTGCAACAATGGAAAAACAATAGAAAGATTTGTATACTTAAAAGAATGTGTTGTTTTAGCTTTGAATTACATTGGTGCTTCTAACATGTGGAACGAAGCAGAGTATTGTAAAATTGTAAAGCTCCTTAAAGTTTTAGGACCAATACATTTAGCAGCTGATGCCTTAGGATGATAAGATGCAAACCTTGACATCCTATTTATTAACAAATGAAGGCATATTTGAATTTCTGTTATGTGAATTGAAAAATTTGAAAACTGAAATTAGTTTCCAAGTTGTTGCATGCTGTAGAATTCAAGAGAGAAGTCAAATGGGATTAGTAACACTTCTCCTTTATTTACAAAATCCACAGAACATTTGGACAAAGTTGTCTAGTGTATTTTTTCCACTAGCTACAAAATCTGATATCATTAAGTTATCTGGACAAATACAGGTAACCCCGTATAACACGGCACTTCTATAGCACGGATTCGCTCTAACACGGTTCGAGAATTGGTACCATCCCCCGTATAACACGGTACTTTTATAGCACGGATTCACTCTAACACGGTTCGAGAATTGGTACCATCCCCCGTATAACACAGTACTTTTATAGCATGGATTCACTTGACACGGTTTGAGAAATGGGTAAAACCCTTCTACAACATGAAATGTAATAAATTTTTACATACTTAAGTACTAATAGTTCACGAAAATTATTATTTTCGTGAACTATTAGTACTTCAGTGTGTAAATTTTCTTTTCTCGTCTCCATACACATGGTCCTTCGCGAAAATTGTTTCAATTTTGCCAGATCTCGACGCTTCTGCTTCTGGTGTTGCCAGATGTTTTTCCGTTATTCCATAAGTGCTTAGCACCATATAAGGAAAATTATAAAGATCTTTTAACTAGAAGCAAGCAATCTAAAATTACATACACTTGTTGCAAAAGGTAAAGCATGAATCTGAAAATAATGCAGAAAAATGCTCAGAGGATAACGATAACTTGCCAAAAATAAAACGCTCTCGATTAATAGTGCTTTTAGTGATGACAAAGAAAACATTGTTTACATTAATATGTATCACTTAAGAAAATTTTAATAAAGATATTTATCTTAATTATGAAAATATAGTAGCATGTTTTTTAATTTTTGGAACCTAACCCTCCTTTTCGTACTAGTTCTTTGTTTCGTATAACACGGCAATTTTTTGGAACGTAACTACCGTGTTATACGGGGGTTACCTGTATTATCAAGATTATATTCAAATTATTCTATAGAAGATGACTACAATGATGAAAAAGTGGTGAAGAAGAAAATCAATCCATAGCTTTAAAAAATGCTATGGAAAAATCAATACATAAATATCTCCAAGAACCTGAAGAAGTGATTTCGTCCAGCCCTAAGACACTAAAAAAAGGGTTTAGTATTAGAGGGCAACAAACAGAACAACAAAAAATTTAGATTTATTATTTAATGCTTTAAAGACGATTAAACCCAGCTCAGTAGCAAGTGAGAGCATTTTTCCTATTTCTGGCAATTTTGGGTGCAAAATAAGGACACAATTGAGCAATAGATTTATAGACGATTTTTGCTTTCTAAAATCATATTTTCTTAGGAAAAATAAGAAATAAAATAATATTTTGTAGGCATTTATTATTATTCATTTTTCTTTATGGTTTTCTACGAAACTTTTAAAATAAGTTGTAAATATCTCTTAGCTCCATTTTTTGGGGTGGGGCAAAAATTCAAAAACCAGTTTCATAGAAAAGTTGATATTCAAAAACCAGATTTTTAAAAAGTCGGTTTTTGTATAAACCCTAATATTTGATTATGGTTTCAATTCAATAATTATAAATTTAAAATATAAGAAGTTAAATCTGATAAAGATTACAGTTAAAATTTAAATTAATATTATATATATTATTCAGTTTTATTAAAAATACTGTATNTAGGAATTTCTGTTATAGAAACCCACGTTATAGGAGGGTCGACTGTACTGCTTCTGTGTTTGTCATTAGATTTTTATACAAAATGATACAAAAATAAAGTAATATAGTTTTTGATATACTAAAAAATGTAGCTTTGATTTTTATTGATTTTGAAAAATCTAAAATTTCTTAACACTTTAGGAATGTATGAATAATAGGTCAAGAGTATCTAAAACATTTGAATTGAACAGATCAGTGGAATTACAGTAACTGTTTGGTCATGTTTCAAGAAAAACTAACAAAAATTATTGAACAGACATTTTAAAATTTCTAACAGAATTACATGATAGCAATATTACATTATACAGTAGAGCGTCAATTGTCTGAATGCCAATCAACCGAAATGTTGGTTAACCAAAAGCGTTCCAATCAGAATGTTTCGTGCTGAGTTGAACGTTTTTGATACTAGATTAACTTATAAAGTATATTGTTTTTTGTTTTTATATTTGTCAATATATATATTAAAATAANAATTGAAATTTTAATCATTCATATTTAATTTTGTCATAATATTCACTGACAACAATAAGTCAGTTTCAAAATTATAACATTGCCCCAAAAATTGTGAATTTGGAAAAATCCAACAAGGTGCGGTGAGCAGTGATGCACTTAAGATTTAATCTTGGGGAGCCAAGTTAAACAGATAAAAAAATTTTTAATGCAAATTCAATAAAATTTCCACCTTTTGTGACTTCTAATTCATAAGTAATATAGAAATAGAAGACTTCAATATACTCAGATTCCTTAAACACTATGACACACAAACCTTATATCTCTGAGAACCAACATTTATTGCTTTAATAAACGTTTTCAACCCAATCAACAGGCCATCGTCAGGTATTTTCAATTTTTTAGAACGGTTTTATGATGGTTCTATATTCGAACAATTATGCAAAAGAAATTCAAATTACACTGAACACTTTGTCCAAATATCAAATATACCAAAAATGTAACAAACAATGTAAATATCTGAAATTGAATAAACAGAATAAAATAAAATAAAATACAAATATACTAACACAATATACAGAATTATATTGACAGAGTACACGTTACATATTAGATTTTACTGCACTATTTTTGATCATATATTTCCAGGCCAATGGAAAACTGTGCATCTTTGTAATTTAAACATTTGCCAGTAGGCTAGATTTATATATTTCAAACTTTTCTAAAGTCATTGCTAAAGATGGTAAGCACACCGGTTTAACAATCCTAGTTTCATTCCATTCAACAACCAAATCATCTGTTTGTGCTACTTCTGGATAGTGCTGTAGAATAGTGCTCTTTGTTTACATTGTATATATGCTCCTTAAGCCTCTTGCTGAAGTTCCTGTTTGACACCTACAAATTCCTTGTTCAGACCTAATTGATAATTTTTATATGGTATTTCGTATACCCCATAAATACACTGTTACATTTTTGGTATATTTGATATTTGGACAAAGTGTTCAAACATTTATAAATTTGAATTTCTTTTCTCATAATTGTTTGAATATAGAACCATTCTAAAATGTTCCAGAGAATTGAAAATACCTGACGATGGCCTGTTGAACGGGTTGAAAACGTTTATTAAAGCAATAAATGTTGGTTCTCAGAGATATAGAAATATAGAGATATAGTGTGTCATAGAAATAGAAGACACAACATAATATAAATAAAACATGAATTTTAATTAGAAAAATATTTTGAAAAATATACTAGTTTCTTTTCCTTTTACTTTGGGGTGCCAGAGCCCCTTATACAGTCCAGTGGTGCACCCAGGGGGTTGGCCCCCTGGGTGCACCACTAGACTGTATATGGATTTTGGTAGTTAATATTTGTTTAGTTTGTAATATAATTTACTTCTGTCCTTTCTTTCTTTTTTTAAATTAATTAAAAATATCTTCAAATATGTATGAAGCAATAATGTTTTTTGAGAAAATCTAACAAAGACTTTAAACATATCAATGATATAATACAAAAAACAGTTTTCTATTTTAAGTTTTGTTTATTAGAAAATTTCAAATAAAGTTTTAAAATAAATTATTTTTTTACATATAATATTCTTGTGAACACATTTTTTTTAAAGTCTTTTGTGGTATCTTCATTAATTAATAAAGCAGAAATTTTAGCATGGTTGGAAACCATGTCTTTATTTCATTTTTAAGTTTGAACTAGTTTTTCATTTAATGATTATTTAAAAATTTTTTTTTTTAATTTCAGGTCTTCCAAATCTTGAAAATCCATGTCCTTTTGGAGAACCATTACATAATATCAATTCCAGTAGTCTTTTTCAATGTGGTCCTCTGGGTGGACAATGTCCTTCATCACATAAGTGCCATCTTAGTCCTCTTGGAGAATATGCTGTTTGTTGTCCAAAGCCAAGTAAGATTTACAAATTAATGAGTAGAGTAATTGAAATCATGTTGCTTAAATCAAACCAAAGAAATAAAATGAAGACTCAAAAGAAATGACTAATTAAGTTGATGTTGAGTTTATGTAGTTTTAACTGTGCTAGTCTGTAGAATAAATTTAAAATTTTAGTTTCACTTCAATGAAAAATCTTGAAGTGAAATTTTTAAAATAAAGATAATATAAAATTAACAGATTTTTTGATGTTTTTAATAAAAATATGTCTCTAAAAATATTTCTCTTTTGTAATATTACTTTTCTATTCAACTTTTTAATCATTCTTTCATATATTAACCATTTCATTAATCATTTACATATTCACTAATCATTATTCTCCCAATTTCTTTTATTTTTTTCTATTTCTTGTATATAAATGATTTTTATGAGTAATCCATGAAAAATTCTTACTAGAATTTGGAATAACAATAAGAATTTTTTATTTGATATTTGTTATTAAAAAAAAACATTAAAAGTTTTTAGATTATTTCATCTTAAAATCAAATTTAAATGTTTAAAGTAAATAATATATTATAAATTATATTTTATATAAACCTTTATCTTAATAGAACTTTTCTTTCTGAATGCTAAAAAACATTCAGAAAGAAAAGTTCTATTAAGATAAAGTACTAAAGTCTAAAAAAATAGTACATCTTTTTTACTGCATGTCTTAATATATCTAGTTCAATAATATATCTTTAATATTATCTATAAACTAGTAACAATTCTATAATTGTATGAAAAAATTATTACATAAATATAATTTTTTAGGAGATGTTTGCTATCAAAAACTTGATCCTGGACATTGTAAAGCATCTCTTCCTCGTTGGTATTTTGATCAAAAGGACAAAATATGTAAAAAGTTTTATTATGGTGGATGTGGTGGTAGCTTGAATAATTTTGCTTCTAGAGAACATTGTGAAAATACTTGTGCAGGTATTTCTGTTTGTTTATTTTTAAAAATTTGAATATTTTTTTTTTTTAACTTATAACAAAAATCCTAAAATTATGATGGGAAACATTTAAAGGAATAAAAAGAGACTAAAATTCTATTGGTACTGAATTTTTGATAACAGAAAAGAAACCAAATTACTACTTCAATAAAAAATTGTATTAAAAATTTATAATATGTATTTTTTCTGTCAAAAATTAGAAAGAGAAATCAATAAAGCTTATATAAAAAATTAACAAAACAAATTAGTTTAGTGTTACAATTTGTATTTTTTTTTTTATGGATAAAATTTTTATGAGAAAAGCAAGTATTTTATATAAGAATATGTTATTTTATAAATCATTTATAAAATTACATTATTTATATTGTAAAACTTTGTTAATAATAAATATAAAAAAATAAAAATTTATAAACTTTTTCAACTTTTACATTTTGAAATTGTAAAAGTTGAAAAAAATATTTTTTTTGAAAAAAAAGGCATAAATTTTCTTTAAACTGATTTTATTTTATTCATTATAATATTTAAATCTGTAAAAATAGGACTTTAATAAATTGTTTGATATTATGATTAGGGTAATAGTTTCTTCAAATTTCACATTGAAGAAATATATTTTCTGACAATTATATTAAATTAATAATTAGTGAGGTTATAAATAATATTAAAATCATTTAAAATATATTTTATATTATTTTTCAGTTATATCATCATGTGAACATACTTGGGAACATAATTACAAATTACTAAAGAACAGTGAAAATGTGATCTTTATTCCTAAGTAATATATTTTAATATTATATGAATTATTTTAAATTAGAAGTAATTTTTACAATAATTTAACTATATTTAACTGTCATCAGCCTGTTCTGACCCCATGTTATATACATAGAAAAATAAATACTACAGTAGAGCGTCGTTTATCCGAATCAATTGGGGACTGAGGTTGTTCGGATAACTTATTTTTCGGATAACCGATTATGTACGAAAAAATATATTAACCTATCCCATGTTGAAATTTTTCTCCATTGCATGCCACTTCGCGTTGAATTTTCGTCGATGTTAAGCCTAACGTAAACTTTTTTAAATAATAATCGTGGCTATTGTATCATTAAAAATTATTTCTTTATTTTGTAGAAACAAAATAAATATATTGAAAAATATAAAAACAAAAAAAAAATATACTTTAGAAGTTGATCTAGTATCAAAAACGTTCGATTCAGCATGACACACAGTCCTCAGAAAAACACCACACAAAAGTTCCAGTGCTGCCAGCTAAAACACACTTCAACAAAAAAAAATATTGGAGTAGCCCAAGATATAGTCAAAGATTGCAGCGCCACAGCACTAGCGAAAATTTAAATTTGCCAATTGGAATTATTTTGGATAACCGACTTTCGGATAAACGACGCTCTACTGTATTCTAATAGATCTATTATAGGATAAAATATTTTGAGCCTTTCTGCCTCAACTTCAGATTTAAGTTTGGTTAAGTATGTTTCATGTTGCATCTGAAGATGAGTCAAGGACATTTTATACCTATAATAAACAGACTTCTTTGCTGAAATAGCATTATTTCTCTATGTATACTTAACTAAAAAATTAAAAGATTACTTTAAGAAATATTGTTAAATACTTTAAAATAAACTACTTAACTTCTCATTTGGTTCAACTGAAATTAACATTATAGATTCAACAAAATATAAATGGTACATTATTGGGCTGCAATTTGAAAAAATTATTGATCTATGAATTCCCATTGTTGTTTGCTTGTCTGTCCTTAATCTTGAGAACAGATTTAAAGAGATGAAAGCCTAGAGCAGACATGAAAAAAATAGGGGCAAGAGACCCTGATTTACTATATACAAACTTCCAATGCAAACTGGAAGTCATGTTATTTCAATTCAAAAATTTTTCCCTGAAAGGAGTTAAATAGATGACTGGTATGACTCTTGCTAACAGGAAAAGTATAATTTATAATGTATAGAAAAATAAATACTACAGTAGAGCGTCGTTTATCCGAATCAATTGGGGACTGAGGTTGTTCGGATAACTTATTACCCTGTAGATCATACTTTTCCTCTAATCAAGATTAGAGGAAAAGTATGATCTACAGGGGCATGACACTACTAATTTGAGAATTTAAAAAAGTATGATTAAAAATTGAAGCCCTGCATTGTGATGATGCCAAATAAATAATTGCTCATTGGATTTTTAATTTAAGTTAAAACTCTGTTCATTCAAATTTATATTATATTGTAGTATTATGTTATGCTTAAATGCATGCTATATATTTTAAACTAAATCAAAATTAATTGTTTTAATCTATGTAACTAATTTTTTACAATATTAACTGCAAGTATTACAACATTATTAAATGAATATGTAATGTTAGAAAAGCAGTTCAGAATTAAGAGAAGTAAAGCAAATTGTTTAAAAATATAATTTTCATCTTTATTAATAGAGNATGAAAGAAATTTACCAAATAAATTAAAGAATTCTCCATATTCTACAATTAATCTTGCTATTCATAGTCTAAATCTTCACTTAAGAGCTGCTTTGAAAAGGTAAATACTTATATATCATTATTAGGCCTTTTTAATATTCCTATATATTTTAAATTTACATTATATTTATTTAATAGTAAAGAAATTATATAGATATATGTACTGTACATAACAATTCTATAATTACTGTCATAGTAAAATTTAGAGCAGACAACTTGCTTGCAAATGATAATGAAGTTTATTAAATGGATTAATGAAGCAAATAAATAGAAATAATTAAACTTTTAAATGCAAAAAAAAAATGAATCTACAAAAGAAAAGCAAAATCACAGTTTACTCTCTGGAACAGTTTAGTTACATAAGCATTCCTCTATTCAAACAGTTTTTTTTTTATTAACTTTTGTGAGAATATGGAGTTGAGAGATTATATTATTGAAAAATTTATTTAAAATAATTGTTATTAATTTTCGATAGAAACTTACCTATCAAAATTTTTATTAAAGTTGAAAAAGGAATTTCCTTTTTCTCTAGAGGAAAGCCATTTAGTTCCTCCAAAAATGATAGCTAAAGTGCAATGTCTCTCTCTCTCTCTAGAGTGCAATGACTTCTGTTGTGCAGCAGAATTGTAGAGAACTTTTTGTAATAATTCTATTGTATGGGATTTTCTATGAAAGGTAAGAATTCATCTTAAAACTTGTTCTTGCTAAAGCTTTTGCCAATGCTTCAGCCAATACTCTCGTCCCTCTCCCAGTTCTCTACTATGGCTTGTTCCCAAGAACTCTCAACTCGCTATGTAGAGCATGCATGTACTAATATAATTTTATTATGTAAATTCTCTCTCATCAGGGATAAATTTAGTAGGTTGGAATTTGATGTTATCTTATAGAAATATCAAAACCAAACATTTTTTATTTTATTCTTATTATAGTTTTTGAATTTCCATTTAATACATATATATGATATAGTTCTTGCATAAATAAATATATAGATATATTCTTAATTGTTGTACTATTTAATTAATGCCTAACTCCATCGTCGGCCCACATAATTCACTAATTCACATATCCCATGTTATTTAACATATTTAAATTAAACCATCCTAAAATTCTGGTCAAGTTTTTAAAATACTTTTTCCACTCAGAAAAGAACCAACTCACTAGCTAGGATGTGAAATAATAATTTATCTTAACTGATGTCAGGACTCTTATAAAGAAGGATTTCACAGATCTTTCTTCTTTATTTAATTTCCATTCTGTATGTGGGATGGGGTTGGCCCAGAGTCCCCGCTTTTCACAGATTTGTATGACCTCCTCTGCTTCATGGCATTATTAATTATAATTGATGCAGTAAATCTTGTTTAAAATTTCATTTTGCATAAATTTTATTATGAACATAATTACAGTTATATTCAATAGAAATTAATGAAAAAGTTTTTAATTTTTAAAATTTAATTTACATTATATAACATTATATCCATTGTTACTGTATGTAAAATTATTTTATATATATTATTTTAATTATAACAGTTACAGCTTGTGCTAGACTTTTGTGAATACTTAATTTAAAACTATTACAATGAGAAATAATTTATCACATTAATGAAATTGTTCTACAGGTTGCCTTCATTTTTTGCCACTTAACAAAATAATGCTTGTTTCAAATTTTCTCCAAAAAACTCAACAAATTTTTTTTTCATAATGTGCAGAATATTTTTTGCAAATGTAGAAGAATTAGCAAATTTGATAGAGCATTTAGATGCACAAAGAAAGGAGGAAATGAATGATGATAATCAGTGTGTTATAAAGGTATTAACTACTGATGCCCTTAAGTAATTTCTAATTCCAACTCATTGATAAAAAAATGTTGCAAAGTGGACTCTCATTAGGAATTAAGTGACTTTGTAAGAATTAGTTTAAATGAAGTCTTAGTACCTTATGAAATTCTGAAGAAGAGGAAAAGAAAGACACAACAAACAATTTTAGATTTTTTTATAATGTTTTATGAAAGTACATGATTCTCAGTCTAACTTATCATTGATGGATGACCCTTAACTAGGGTCATCCATCAATGATAAGTTAGATCTGTTCTGTGATGACAAGTTATATCAGTTCTGTGATGATGACCCTTAACTAGGGTTATCATCACAGAACTGAAGTTGTATGCATTGACACTGCTGTATGAGATAAACACAGTGATGGTATAAAAATTGCATCATTGATTTCAGTTATAAAGAAATAATAATAATACAGAAATTATAACTTATTATTCTTACTGTGTATCATTCTTGAATCGTGTCCAGTATCCAATCTCACAGATGGGCTTAACGGCCAAGCCTCTGAGACAGTATGAAACCTTAAACAGTTTGAAGAAATTTTCTGACAGTATGGCAAGTTACCAGCTTTTTGTAAAGATCTATATAAATTTGAGTGAATGTGTATTGTATTCAAGCTTTTAGGTAACAAATGAGGGATAATTCCTGTGGACTTTATTCATTTTCTATAGGTGTTTTATTTCTTGAGAGTTCAGTATATTTACTTAGTTTTTCTGTACAGCTATTTTGTACATTGTGTGTTTGGCATAGTGATGTCAATGATATAAGTTAAAATTAGTTTAGTTTTGTGCACTTTCTCAATGATGTTGATGATATTATTTTGTGTTTGTAAAAGATTCAGTATTAAATCTGTTATTGAAAAATATATACACAGTACAAAACAGTAGAGCATCGATTATCCGACCCCCCTATCAACCGTCACATTGGTTAACCGACCACATTCTAGTTGACAAATTCAAATGTTTGCTAGTGATGTGGCGCTACAATATTTGACTATGTCTTGGCTACTTTAATATTATTTTTGTTAAATTTTTGCATGTTTTAGCTGGCAACACTGGCTCAACCATGAAAGGGAGGCCAGTATTTAAACGAGGCTTAATTTTCTAATTCTGAGTGGTTGTTTGTTTTGTGAGCAATAAAATAATTTAAAAATAATTTTTAATGATACAATAGCGACGATTATTATTTTTAAAAAAGTTTTGTTAGGCTTAACATCAATGAAAATTCAACGTGAAGTAGGTTAATAGCGATATACTATACTAATAATGTATTTTTTCATACTTTTCGGTTATCCGACCAACCCCAGTTACCAATTGAGTCAGATAGTTGATGCTCTACTGTATATTCATTCATGGATGCCTGGAACACATCTCTATTTATTCCATAATAAAATGGATTTATTTTGCACCAATTTTGTTTTTGCTGCCTCCTCCTGAAATATCACTGGCATAAAATGAGGCCATCCTTTACTATATGCAGTAGAACGTCGATTATTTGAATGCCGATCAACCAAAACATTGGTTAACTGAAAGCATTTCAGTCAGACTGTGTTGTGCTGAATCAAATGTTTTTGATACTAGATTAACTTCTAAAGTATAATTTCTTTTGTTTTTATATTTTTCAATATTTATTTTGTTTGTACAGAATAAAGAAATTTTTAACGATACAATAGTTACGATTATTATTATAAAAATTTTTGTTAGGCTTAACATTGATAAAAATTCAACGCGAAGTGACATGCAACGGAGAAAAATTTAAATATGGTGTATATTAATATACTATTATTGAAAAAATACATTATTAATATATTATATTAATAATGTATTTTTTCATATGTAATCAGTTATCCGAAAAATCGATTTTCTGAACAACCTCAGTCCCCAATTGATTCAAATAATCAACACTCTACTGTATTTTTTCAATTTAGGCAAAAAGTTCACTTGGATTGAACAAAAATGATCAAGTAATCTATTTATTGCAGACAAGAAAGGTCCATCTAAGATCTATCATATGTAGTTTAGATTCTTTTCAGTTTCTTGTGTGAATACATGCCAAACAAAGGATGTATGCAACTGAGTACCAGAGAGAGAGAGAGAGAGAGAGAGGATATGTTTGAAGAAAATGATATTATACTTATAGATTACTGAGACATTTTAGGAAAAATATATAAGCTTATATATAAATTTAGTACTAAATTAATTAATTCTAACAACTTCAATATTTCATTTTATTTCATTAGAACTAACTTAAAATATGTAGTGTGAATTATATGATGCATGCATAATTACTTATAAACATAGAGAACATTGATAAAGCTGAATGAGTTAAACAAATTACTAACAAGTCTGTTATAAAGTACTAATTCTATTCACTGTGCATGCTTTATTGTAGTTGATATTTCAAAAAGAACTGTAACAAAATTCATGAAGGAAAGAATTGGTTTACATTGTAAAGAAAATGGTGCATGGTGATATTGATGTTTCTAAATCTGCTCAAAGGTGTCAATTGTGGATTAAAAGGTGAAATGATAGAAATAAGTGAGCAATTTAAGAAAAATATTTTGAATAAGAATACACTAACAACATTTACAAATTTTAGAAATAGGCATTTTGTTGTAAATGAATCAGTTGCAATGTCTGGCAAAAGAAATAATAATGATGTCATTCTCATTTAATTCATTCAACTTTACAAATGTACTCTTAATTGTTATGGGATCTATAAAATAAGTACTATAATTATAAATTATATGTATTTTTGGTATTACTGTTTATAGAATCAGTACTTGAGATGCTTTTCTTAATTTTTTTAAAACAAACATATTTGATAGACATTTCAAAAACAAACAAATTTTTATATTAAAATTTAATTTATAATTAGTAGTTNGAAAAAATTATTACATAAATATAATTTTTTAGGAGATGTTTGCTATCAAAAACTTGATCCTGGACATTGTAAAGCATCTCTTCCTCGTTGGTATTTTGATCAAAAGGACAAAATATGTAAAAAGTTTTATTATGGTGGATGTGGTGGTAGCTTGAATAATTTTGCTTCTAGAGAACATTGTGAAAATACTTGTGCAGGTATTTCTGTTTGTTTATTTTTAAAAAATTTGAATATTTTTTTTTTTAACTTATAACAAAAATCCTAAAATTATGATGGGAAACATTTAAAGGAATAAAAAGAGACTAAAATTCTATTGGTACTGAATTTTTGATAACAGAAAAGAAACCAAATTACTACTTCAATAAAAAATTGTATTAAAAATTTATAATATGTATTTTTTCTGTCAAAAATTAGAAAGAGAAATCAATAAAGCTTATATAAAAAATTAACAAAACAAATTAGTTTAGTGTTACAATTTGTATTTTTTTTTTTATGGATAAAATTTTTATGAGAAAAGCAAGTATTTTATATAAGAATATGTTATTTTATAAATCATTTATAAAATTACATTATTTATATTGTAAAACTTTGTTAATAATAAATATAAAAAAATAAAAATTTATAAACTTTTTCAACTTTTACATTTTGAAATTGTAAAAGTTGAAAAAAATATTTTTTTTGAAAAAAAAGGCATAAATTTTCTTTAAACTGATTTTATTTTATTCATTATAATATTTAAATCTGTAAAAATAGGACTTTAATAAATTGTTTGATATTATGATTAGGGTAATAGTTTCTTCAAATTTCACATTGAAGAAATATATTTTCTGACAATTATATTAAATTAATAATTAGTGAGGTTATAAATAATATTAAAATCATTTAAAATATATTTTATATTATTTTTCAGTTATATCATCATGTGAACATACTTGGGAACATAATTACAAATTACTAAAGAACAGTGAAAATGTGATCTTTATTCCTAAGTAATATATTTTAATATTATATGAATTATTTTAAATTAGAAGTAATTTTTACAATAATTTAACTATATTTAACTGTCATCAGCCTGTTCTGACCCCATGTTATATACATAGAAAAATAAATACTACAGTAGAGCGTCGTTTATCCGAATCAATTGGGGACTGAGGTTGTTCGGATAACTTATTTTTCGGATAACCGATTATGTACGAAAAAATATATTAACCTATCCCATGTTGAAATTTTTCTCCATTGCATGCCACTTCGCGTTGAATTTTCGTCGATGTTAAGCCTAACGTAAACTTTTTTAAATAATAATCGTGGCTATTGTATCATTAAAAATTATTTCTTTATTTTGTAGAAACAAAATAAATATATTGAAAAATATAAAAACAAAAAAAAAATATACTTTAGAAGTTGATCTAGTATCAAAAACGTTCGATTCAGCATGACACACAGTCCTCAGAAAAACACCACACAAAAGTTCCAGTGCTGCCAGCTAAAACACACTTCAACAAAAAAAAATATTGGAGTAGCCCAAGATATAGTCAAAGATTGCAGCGCCACAGCACTAGCGAAAATTTAAATTTGCCAATTGGAATTATTTTGGATAACCGACTTTCGGATAAACGACGCTCTACTGTATTCTAATAGATCTATTATAGGATAAAATATTTTGAGCCTTTCTGCCTCAACTTCAGATTTAAGTTTGGTTAAGTATGTTTCATGTTGCATCTGAAGATGAGTCAAGGACATTTTATACCTATAATAAACAGACTTCTTTGCTGAAATAGCATTATTTCTCTATGTATACTTAACTAAAAAATTAAAAGATTACTTTAAGAAATATTGTTAAATACTTTAAAATAAACTACTTAACTTCTCATTTGGTTCAACTGAAATTAACATTATAGATTCAACAAAATATAAATGGTACATTATTGGGCTGCAATTTGAAAAAATTATTGATCTATGAATTCCCATTGTTGTTTGCTTGTCTGTCCTTAATCTTGAGAACAGATTTAAAGAGATGAAAGCCTAGAGCAGACATGAAAAAAATAGGGGCAAGAGACCCTGATTTACTATATACAAACTTCCAATGCAAACTGGAAGTCATGTTATTTCAATTCAAAAATTTTTCCCTGAAAGGAGTTAAATAGATGACTGGTATGACTCTTGCTAACAGGAAAAGTATAATTTATAATGTATAGAAAAATAAATACTACAGTAGAGCGTCGTTTATCCGAATCAATTGGGGACTGAGGTTGTTCGGATAACTTATTACCCTGTAGATCATACTTTTCCTCTAATCAAGATTAGAGGAAAAGTATGATCTACAGGGGCATGACACTACTAATTTGAGAATTTAAAAAAGTATGATTAAAAATTGAAGCCCTGCATTGTGATGATGCCAAATAAATAATTGCTCATTGGATTTTTAATTTAAGTTAAAACTCTGTTCATTCAAATTTATATTATATTGTAGTATTATGTTATGCTTAAATGCATGCTATATATTTTAAACTAAATCAAAATTAATTGTTTTAATCTATGTAACTAATTTTTTACAATATTAACTGCAAGTATTACAACATTATTAAATGAATATGTAATGTTAGAAAAGCAGTTCAGAATTAAGAGAAGTAAAGCAAATTGTTTAAAAATATAATTTTCATCTTTATTAATAGAGTTTTTTCAAATTTAAAATATAAATGAAAAAGAATAAATCAAAAACAGCATTAAGGAGTTTGGAAAGAAAAATATTAATAGATTTTTATACATAACAACACACCACACCAGGAAATATGTAATGATGAACACAGAACCAATAACCAGTGTGTAGAAAACAAAAAGCTATCTCAAGACAAATGTTTTCTAGGAACTCAGAAGGAGGTAGAAAACGTTTGTCTTGAGATAGTTTTTTGTTTTCTTCACACCAGTTACAGTAGACCCCCCCTATAACGCTTAGATACGTTCCACATTAATCGAATTTTACATTGTAGGAATCATTAAATACATGAGACAATCGCAGCCCAACACGTGTGAAGTTTACGGACTAAGGCTGTTTGAAAGGTTTTCTTCTATAAAATTAACCAATTCTAGACTAATTCCACTCAACGTTTCCAAAACACGTATAATTTTTTGGGAATAATCCGTATAAACTATGCTATAAACAAAAAATTGTAGAATTACTTACCAAGTGTGCACCGTTCGACTACGCCGTTGCTCAAGCTTGTTTTCGTCGTGGAACAGAGCACGAAACGGCAGCCGCGATTTCTGATAACGAATTTTTCGCAGAAAAATAACTTGACCTTTGGAGTCATCATTAATATAAATAATTTTAATCGCTGTTGAATAAGAAATGTTTCTTTCACAAGAAATGTATAAAATTACAGTACTGTATTAGACTTACGATACCTAATTTACATACTGTACAGACAATAATAAACTCAACTTACTAGCCTAAACTCTCCGTAGCGTGGCACTAGACGGCGGAAATTATATATATAATTATAATAAAGTTACAATAAATTAAGTTAATATATAATTATGTATACAGTACCTAATTTATATATAATTAATATATAATTATATGTACAGTACCTAATTTATATATAATTTATACATAATGCTGTACAGACGATAGCAAACTCAATTTAGCTGCCTAAACTCTCGATAGCATGGCGCAGGGCGGAGGAAAGTAGTTTGGCTGCTCATCCACTATTGGTCCAGATTCTATCAATCTTGTCGCAACACGAGTCGGTGACGACGTTTTAGGAGTTCCTTTATACAAATATTGCTACAATTTTTTCGCTACGTTATAGGAATTTCTGTTATAGAAACCCACGTTATAGGAGGGTCGACTGTACTGCTTCTGTGTTTGTCATTAGATTTTTATACAAAATGATACAAAAATAAAGTAATATAGTTTTTGATATACTAAAAAATGTAGCTTTGATTTTTATTGATTTTGAAAAATCTAAAATTTCTTAACACTTTAGGAATGTATGAATAATAGGTCAAGAGTATCTAAAACATTTGAATTGAACAGATCAGTGGAATTACAGTAACTGTTTGGTCATGTTTCAAGAAAAACTAACAAAAATTATTGAACAGACATTTTAAAATTTCTAACAGAATTACATGAGAGCNATATATGAATCAATGAAATGCCGCGATAATTTAAATTGCTGTAAATTTTGAGCTTTTTTCAGGCTTCAAGCAGATCACATTATATCAAATCAGCGTTAAGCGAGGTGGCGTTAAGCAAGGTCTTACTGTACATTAAATTTTATTTCAATATGTGTCATTAAATCTTTAAGGAAGAAATAATTTAGAAGCATTTAAACTTCAGATTAAATATATATAAACATGAAAACTAAACATTTACTTTCTACACTGTCCACATTGCTTAGAAAAATATTAAAATAGTTTAAAATTATTTTTGAGCTAAATCCCTCATCTTCAGAATGAATTTTTCTGAACTGAACAGAAGTCATATATTAGAGGAGTCAAATAAATCACTTTTTACAATTACTGATATTATCAATTTTATATAGAAATTTATATATTGCTTTAGTTAAATTTTGCAACATTAGATTATTTAAACTGTTTAAGAATGCACATGTTATGGATATGTAAGCATAATTTATTGAATATTTGTTTAAATTTGAAATGTTTTGCTTGAATTTAATCTGTAATCTGCTAATGATGATTACTGAAGGTAATTAAAAACATTCATCTGTATATTAAACATTTTGTTGGTAAGATACTACAGTTTGCTGGTAGATACTAATTGATTATTTTTACATGTAATTTTTAATAATCTAAACTATAGGGAGACATTTATGATGTCTATTAATGGAATTCTTAACTTAATTAAAAATAACTGTTTATATGATAAAGATTATGTTCATGTAAAAACTAAGTAGCTGATTTTTTGTGTGAGTTTTAATTTTTTTAGTTTACATGTTATTTGTATACACTTAAATATTTGAAATTTAGTTATTTATCTTTATAAATTTATAGATGTAACAAAAAAACTGGAGAATGGGAACCATTACAATGCATGGAAGATGTGGGAATCTGTTGGTGTGTAAATGAATATGGTCAACAACTTCCTGGAACAAGTGTAAGAGGTGTTCCTTACTGCACACAACGTTAGTATATTTTTTAATATTATAAACTTATTGATCACTTTTATGGAACAATTAACATGTTAAAAAAACGTTTTTAATAGTATAATAATATAATTAAAAAAGTATTTTTAATAATGACACTATTATAGTATACAAACATTTGATGATGTTATAAAAGCTAAAACAATCAATGAGAAAAATTTTTTGAAATGGTGTTGATTAGTATGCAATAAGATAATCAGTTTCAGAAACTGAAAATTATATTCTTTTGGTAGCATTTATTAATTATTCTTAATATATTTTAAAATAAGTATTTGAGGTTCTACATAAGTTTTAAATTGTCGTTATAAGTAGAAATATAAATGAAGATTGGGTTTAAATAATAACTTTGAAAAAGTATGATTAAAATGGATATCAAGCAAATTATTAAATAAATTATAACTGTGTGAAGTATTATATAGTAATTGTAATCATCATTTCTTTATTATTCTAATATATTGGGTGATTGTAATTAAAGTGCCTTTATTCAATGCTGTCTAGAGATATTTAGCAGTCCAAATGCAATTAAATCTGGTATGGTAATATTTCATGACATGCAAAGATATTCCTATAAAAACAAAATTAGTACCATACTATAATTTACCAGTGTGACACTTTTGGCACTGTAAGCAATGAAAAAGAAGATTTATTTGAACAAGCATACATCTTTCAGCTGAATTCTAGATATAAAAGTGACAACAACTGTTGATTATTATTATTTTTTTAAGCTACAATGGCTATCACTTTGCCAGAATATGCATTTCTTGTGAAGTTGTTTTATGAAAATAATGGTAATGCTAAGACTGCACTTCAGGAATTTCACCATTTAAGAATTTGCACTGAGGACCATTGACTCCCTGTCCTCAGGAGAATTCAGTCTGTGGAAACTGGAATGGAGTTCAACTCAGTTGAACCAGATTCCAGTTTCCACAGACATATCTATCTGTGGAAACTGTACTATCTATATAGTACTATCTATTATCTATCTATCTATATAGAATATGTACTATCTATTTTGAAGCAATAGATAGTACATATCTATTGCTTCAAAAGTTGTTGATGGTCCCATGGCTGTCATTGAAAAGCCAATGAATAATATCGCAGGTACCAGTAAGCATATGCAGTGTCACAGCAGTTGAGTATATCCTATGACAGTGTGGAAGGTATTGAGAAATTTGATGCATTATCTATCTAAGATTAGCCAAACCAGCAATTGCTTGTTGATGATGGGGAAATCTGCCTGATCTTTGCATTGACCTTCCTTACCAGAATATGGTGTATGTAATGAAGTGGATATGTAGCGGTCATGGAAGATCCTGTGGAGTGACAATGCACAATTTCACTTAAGTGGAACTCTGAAAACTTTAAGTATTGCATTTGAGCCATGGAAAACGCTCATGTTTTCTAGCAGATTCCACTGCACTCACCTAAAGTTAGTCTTACGTGGATTTACAGCTACATTTATCTTTTGACCATTCTTCTTTGAAGAAGCTAGTTCCAGTGGACCTGTAACATGTTCTGTGATGGTCCAAAGATGCTGAGAGATGCACAACAGTTTTATCATACTTCAATTGCAATAGTAACAATGCCTTGAGTCAACCATTTTCATACAAAATGGAGCTCCCTGCATATTGCATATAACAGCTTCTGAAACAACATTTCATTGATAACAGGGTGATTAGCTGTGCATTTCCTACCAACTGGCCACCTTGTTCTCTGGATCTTAATTTCTGTGATTTTTAGTCATGAGAAACTTAAAAAGTATGGTTTTTTGAGAACATGTTGTATATTTGTAGTGTTAAAGACAATACTACACTGCATGAGAGAAGCATCACAGAGGGTCATGTATGGTCATTGAACATACTGTTCATTGTCTTCAAGTTTTACAGCTCTTAGAATAGGCCACATTGAGCAGTATTTCCTGCATTGCCAAAGTCATAGCATGAGTTTCTTATACAAATAAAAGTGCCATAGTAATGGATATGTAAGCATAATTTATTGAATATTTGTTTAAATTTGAAATGTTTTGCTTGAATTTAATCTGTAATCTGCTAATGATGATTACTGAAGGTAATTAAAAACATTCATCTGTATATTAAACATTTTGTTGGTAAGATACTACAGTTTGCTGGTAGATACTAATTGATTATTTTTACATGTAATTTTTAATAATCTAAACTATAGGGAGACATTTATGATGTCTATTAATGGAATTCTTAACTTAATTAAAAATAACTGTTTATATGATAAAGATTATGTTCATGTAAAAACTAAGTAGCTGATTTTTTGTGTGAGTTTTAATTTTTTTAGTTTACATGTTATTTGTATACACTTAAATATTTGAAATTTAGTTATTTATCTTTATAAATTTATAGATGTAACAAAAAAACTGGAGAATGGGAACCATTACAATGCATGGAAGATGTGGGAATCTGTTGGTGTGTAAATGAATATGGTCAACAACTTCCTGGAACAAGTGTAAGAGGTGTTCCTTACTGCACACAACGTTAGTATATTTTTTAATATTATAAACTTATTGATCACTTTTATGGAACAATTAACATGTTAAAAAAACGTTTTTAATAGTATAATAATATAATTAAAAAAGTATTTTTAATAATGACACTATTATAGTATACAAACATTTGATGATGTTATAAAAGCTAAAACAATCAATGAGAAAAATTTTTTGAAATGGTGTTGATTAGTATGCAATAAGATAATCAGTTTCAGAAACTGAAAATTATATTCTTTTGGTAGCATTTATTAATTATTCTTAATATATTTTAAAATAAGTATTTGAGGTTCTACATAAGTTTTAAATTGTCGTTATAAGTAGAAATATAAATGAAGATTGGGTTTAAATAATAACTTTGAAAAAGTATGATTAAAATGGATATCAAGCAAATTATTAAATAAATTATAACTGTGTGAAGTATTATATAGTAATTGTAATCATCATTTCTTTATTATTCTAATATATTGGGTGATTGTAATTAAAGTGCCTTTATTCAATGCTGTCTAGAGATATTTAGCAGTCCAAATGCAATTAAATCTGGTATGGTAATATTTCATGACATGCAAAGATATTCCTATAAAAACAAAATTAGTACCATACTATAATTTACCAGTGTGACACTTTTGGCACTGTAAGCAATGAAAAAGAAGATTTATTTGAACAAGCATACATCTTTCAGCTGAATTCTAGATATAAAAGTGACAACAACTGTTGATTATTATTTTTTTAAGCTACAATGGCTATCACTTTGCCAGAATATGCATTTCTTGTGAAGTTGTTTTATGAAAATAATGGTAATGCTAAGACTGCACTTCAGGAATTTCACCATTTAAGAATTTGCACTGAGGACCATTGACTCCCTGTCCTCAGGAGAATTCAGTCTGTGGAAACTGGAATGGAGTTCAACTCAGTTGAACCAGATTCCAGTTTCCACAGACATATCTATCTGTGGAAACTGTACTATCTATATAGTACTATCTATTATCTATCTATCTATATAGAATATGTACTATCTATTTTGAAGCAATAGATAGTACATATCTATTGCTTCAAAAGTTGTTGATGGTCCCATGGCTGTCATTGAAAAGCCAATGAATAATATCGCAGGTACCAGTAAGCATATGCAGTGTCACAGCAGTTGAGTATATCCTATAACAGTGTGGAAGGTATTGAGAAATTTGATGCATTATCTATCTAAGATTAGCCAAACCAGCAATTGCTTGTTGATGATGGAGAAATCTGCCTGATCATTGCATTGACCTTCCTTACCAGAATATGGTGTATGTAATGAAGTGGATATGTAGTGGTCATGGAAGATCCTGTGGAGTGACAATGCACAATTTCACTTAAGTGGAACTCTGAAAACTTTAAGTATTGCATTTGAGCCATGGAAAACGCTCATGTTTTCTAGCAGATTCCACTGCACTCACCTAAAGTTAGTCTTACGTGGATTTACAGCTACATTTATCTTTTGACCATTCTTCTTTGAAGAAGCTAGTTCCAGTGGACCTGTAACATGTTCTGTGATGGTCCAAAGATGCTGAGAGATGCACAACAGTTTTATCATACTTCAATTGCAATAGTAACAATGCCTTGAGTCAACCATTTTCATACAAAATGGAGCTCCCTGCATATTGCATATAACAGCTTCTGAAACAACATTTCATTGATAACAGGGTGATTAGCTGTGCATTTCCTACCAACTGGCCACCTTGTTCTCTGGATCTTAATTTCTGTGATTTTTAGTCATGAGAAACTTAAAAAGTATGGTTTTTTGAGAACATGTTGTATATTTGTAGTGTTAAAGACAATACTACACTGCATGAGAGAAGCATCACAGAGGGTCATGTATGGTCATTGAACATACTGTTCATTGTCTTCAAGTTTTACAGCTCTTAGAATAGGCCACATTGAGCAGTATTTCCTGCATTGCCAAAGTCATAGCATGAGTTTCTTATACAAATAAAAGTGCCATAGTACTAACATAGCGAGGAGGGCAAGGGGGTCTATCATGCCCCGGGTGCCATTCGCAGAGGGGTGCCAAATGGTCTCCAAGACAAACAAGATTTATGGATATTTTAAGGTAGGTACTACATTCTATTATTATTTGTATTATATTCTTATTACGAGTAAATTCTATATATTATATGTGTTTTTGGAAAGGGGAGGGGACACCAATAAAGTTTTGTGCCCCGGGCACCAGTTATGTTTGCTACGCCACTGTACCATAGTAGTGAGTTTTGGTACTAATTATTTTTTAAAGAAATTCTATCATGTCTTGAAATGTCACCATAACAGATTTGGTTACATTTGGACTGTAGACAGCATTTAATAGGGATACTTTAATTACAGTTATCCAGTATATAAATTTTAAACATATTTCCTATTTATAACATAATAAAACAGACTAATTTAGAGATATAATTTGATTTATTTATTTAACAAAATTGCATTTTTACTTATTGCATTTAAGCATTATTGAAAAACCAATTCTTACATAATTGACCTAGTTTTAAAACAAATTTAATTTTAATTTTAACCAATGTATTAAAAATCATAAAATTCTGTCAATGATTTATTTATAAACTCCATATTATTTTTTATATATAGGATCTGGAAGAGAATTTAATGATGATATACCATGTAAGTAATAAATTACTAATTATAATTTTATTAAATTCGTTTTTTCTTTTACTGAAACAAGTTATTTTTTTTCTGTTGTCAATTCAATAAAGTCAGCCATTTTTCTGAATTTAAAAATAAAAAGAAAATAAATAAATAACATGTAGAAATAAAAATGAAAACATTTTTTATTTTTGCATGATTTNCACTTCAACAAAAAAAAATATTGGAGTAGCCCAAGATATAGTCAAAGATTGCAGCGCCACAGCACTAGCGAAAATTTAAATTTGCCAATTGGAATTATTTTGGATAACCGACTTTCGGATAAACGACGCTCTACTGTATTCTAATAGATCTATTATAGGATAAAATATTTTGAGCCTTTCTGCCTCAACTTCAGATTTAAGTTTGGTTAAGTATGTTTCATGTTGCATCTGAAGATGAGTCAAGGACATTTTATACCTATAATAAACAGACTTCTTTGCTGAAATAGCATTATTTCTCTATGTATACTTAACTAAAAAATTAAAAGATTACTTTAAGAAATATTGTTAAATACTTTAAAATAAACTACTTAACTTCTCATTTGGTTCAACTGAAATTAACGTTATAGATTCAACAAAATATAAATGGTACATTATTGGGCTGCAATTTGAAAAAATTATTGATCTATGAATTCCCATTGTTGTTTGCTTGTCTGTCCTTAATCTTGAGAACAGATTTAAAGAGATGAAAGCCTAGAGCAGACATGAAAAAAATAGGGGCAAGAGACCCTGATTTACTATATACAAACTTCCAATGCAAACTGGAAGTCATGTTATTTCAATTCAAAAATTTTTCCCTGAAAGGAGTTAAATAGATGACTGGTATGACTCTTGCTAACAGGAAAAGTATAATTTATAATGTATAGAAAAATAAATACTACAGTAGAGCGTCGTTTATCCGAATCAATTGGGGACTGAGGTTGTTCGGATAACTTATTACCCTGTAGATCATACTTTTCCTCTAATCAAGATTAGAGGAAAAGTATGATCTACAGGGGCATGACACTACTAATTTGAGAATTTAAAAAAGTATGATTAAAAATTGAAGCCCTGCATTGTGATGATGCCAAATAAATAATTGCTCATTGGATTTTTAATTTAAGTTAAAACTCTGTTCATTCAAATTTATATTATATTGTAGTATTATGTTATGCTTAAATGCATGCTATATATTTTAAACTAAATCAAAATTAATTGTTTTAATCTATGTAACTAATTTTTTACAATATTAACTGCAAGTATTACAACATTATTAAATGAATATGTAATGTTAGAAAAGCAGTTCAGAATTAAGAGAAGTAAAGCAAATTGTTTAAAAATATAATTTTCATCTTTATTAATAGAGTTTTTTCAAATTTAAAATATAAATGAAAAAGAATAAATCAAAAACAGCATTAAGGAGTTTGGAAAGAAAAATATTAATAGATTTTTATACATAACAACACACCACACCAGGAAATATGTAATGATGAACACAGAACCAATAACCAGTGTGAAGAAAACAAAAAGCTATCTCAAGACAAATGTTTTCTAGGAACTCAGAAGGAGGTAGAAAACGTTTGTCTTGAGATAGTTTTTTGTTTTCTTCACACCAGTTACAGTAGACCCCCCCTATAACGCTTAGATACGTTCCACATTAATCGAATTTTACATTGTAGGAATCATTAAATACATGAGACAATCGCAGCCCAACACGTGTGAAGTTTACGGACTAAGGCTGTTTGAAAGGTTTTCTTCTATAAAATTAACCAATTCTAGACTAATTCCACTCAACGTTTCCAAAACACGTATAATTTTTTGGGAATAATCCGTATAAACTATGCTATAAACAAAAAATTGTAGAATTACTTACCAAGTGTGCACCGTTCGACTACGCCGTTGCTCAAGCTTGTTTTCGTCGTGGAACAGAGCACGAAACGGCAGCCGCGATTTCTGATAACGAATTTTTCGCAGAAAAATAACTTGACCTTTGGAGTCATCATTAATATAAATAATTTTAATCGCTGTTGAATAAGAAATGTTTCTTTCACAAGAAATGTATAAAATTACAGTACTGTATTAGACTTACGATACCTAATTTACATACTGTACAGACAATAATAAACTCAACTTACTAGCCTAAACTCTCCGTAGCGTGGCACTAGACGGCGGAAATTATATATATAATTATAATAAAGTTACAATAAATTAAGTTAATATATAATTATATATACAGTACCTAATTTATATATAATTAATATATAATTATATGTA